ATCCATCAGGTTTTGGCGGACATCCACACTCATTTGGGAGCGGCCGCTGAACTTGAAGGTGTGGCACTTTGGATTCGGCCTCCCCCAGCACCACCTTTGCCTGGGGCCGCAATGGACTTGGACACATCAGACTCGTCAGAAGATGATGAAGCAGCTGACGGAGCGACAGCAGAGGCTGCGCCAGATACAGAAGATCAGGGTGCACCTGTTGTTCCACTTCATCCGGATGCTGGCCCACTTGATCCCCTTCAGGACCACTTGGTGTTGCCCCCTGACCTGCAGACCCAGCTGCAAATTCAGCTGAACTGTGTCCTCGATCCAATCATTGCCTACTACGAGGACCAGGGCAGGACACCTGAGTTGGCCCTGAACGAGGCCAGGAGCAGGGCATGGGCTCATCTCCGTGATATGACAGAAATCAGCTTCCGGGATACAAAGCGCAGCAGACAGGTTGCCCCTAGTGGATCTTCTTCGTCTACGGGCCAAATTTGAGCCTCCTTCATCGTCGACCCCGACAACATATCAGATGTTAGCGACAATTTTTGGATTTCACGTTTTTGGCCAATGGCTACGTGACTCGTCATTTCTGAGGCTCTAAGTGAAAATCTCGTTTTCACCGCCAGTGCGTTGATGAACCAATGTTGCATTCATTTCATTTCAGAGCACATTATCCGACATGCCACATTTCTCATACTCATTCACACAAACCGATGTGCATGTGGCTTCAGTTTTTCCATGTCATACGGTCGGGCGCGTTGGGGCTCTCGATCCGGGGGAAATGCTGGAGCCTCAACACGACCCTAACCAGATTCAATGAAGAGTCATCGACACCAGAGTCGTTGGACCAAATGTGTTTACAAATGTAGAGACACTCAACAAAATCACTGACAATCCCCCGTTACCTGGACAGGTGAGAAATGAGGATGTGCGGACCTCAACCAAAGACATCTGAGTCATTTGGACCATTCCTCCCTTTCTGATCGGTTGGCATCAGAGTTGACCGTGAGTGACATTGATTTAATTTGTCATCACATGTTGTGAAGGTGAGCTTGGAGTCAACAGAGGCAGGATCCAAGTAATATCACTTACACGAAGACATCAGAGTCTTGTAAGTGCAATCGTTCAGGATCATCCAGATTTATTTTGGTTGAAGTTGCAGGTGGAGTTCAATCCAGCTGGGAGCGAGTCGGCTGGAGAAGGGCAAAACTTTGCCCGAGAACCCGTCTGGCACCCAAGAACAATGATCATCATCTGAGATGGATCTTGTGACAGTAGACATCAGAGTCTTATTAGTGGATGAACAGAGACTTTGGGGATTTATGTGTTTTTGACTGGGCAGGACAAGGAAGGGCCAACAGAGGCACGATCGCAAACCTAGCCCAATTGGTCACGTGATGTCCGATAGGATCTTCCTCAGAGTAGCCTGTGACCCATGTGCAGGTGACTTCATCCCTTGGGCTTGCAAGAGGGCCTGCTGTTGAGGAGCATCATGAGCTCAGAATTGCAGTAGGGGTCCCAATGGTATCCAAACCTGTATCTTGATCACAGAAAGCAGATTCACTTAGCGACTTAGAGGACCTTGCGAGTGGCCCCAGAAGATCTTTGGAAGAGGCATCCTGTGATTGAGTTGAACTGCACTTGACATCAGAGTCGTTCAGAGACGGTGCGTGTGAATTGTCGAACACTGAAATTAATTGACGGCCTTCATTTACATTGTGCATTTACGTCAGGTTCAGTCTACGGCGGCAGTGGAAACCACTGATCGAGTCCAAGCCGCGGTCGAGCCAATCCGGTGTACAGAAGGCCCATCCGAGGCCGAAACATCCGAGCATCCATTGGCAGCATCCGACCTTTTGCCTGAGTTCATCGGAGGGGATTATGATTTCTTGGCAGAACCTGGGGATCAAGAAGACTATCTAGAAGAGATCCGTCACCTAGAAGACGTCGTTGGAACTCCAGATTTATATGAGCCTTCGGAATCATTCCCTGATCAAGTTTATAATCCGCCCGTCGATAGCCCTAAGGACCCCATAGATCAATAATTCCTGGAAGAGGTATGCTACATCGGAGTGGGTAACTTCTGAAGTCAAAAGGGTTAAGCAAGCTGGATTGAAGGATTTAACATCATCCTTTGCTCTTGACAGCCCATCCCAAACGCTGTCAATGATGTTCCAGTTGCCTGCAGAAAGCCTTGCACTCCTGCAAACATCCCCGGAAGCAGAACACCAGAGCCAAGACTCCGTAGTGGCAAATCAGAGATTAGTTCATGCTCGGAGGACCAGGATTAATGAGGTCCGATGATGACCTGAGAGACGCAAGCATCGCAAAGTTGAAGCACATCATCCTTCTGGATCCTGCTGCATCCCGGTTGGGGGAACTGTTAGTCCCAACCTCCTCGCGACCGATGGACGAAGTGGACATCCGTAGGTCGTTAGATCAAGCCTTCAGCCGCAAGTCATCCAACACTCTTTACAAGAGAGCCTGTGCCTTAACTCGGTACGTAAGTTGGTTTGATAGGCTTAATCATAGAGGTTCACCCTTGAGTCACTTGAGATTGAAGGAATTTGACATCTATAGCTACCTCGGACCAACAGCAGCATCAGGATTCATAGAAGCGTTGAGATTCCTGGACTCAGTAGAAGTGTTAACCTTTGCCAACCTCGACTTGGTATTGTCACCCAGAGTGACAGGGTTTGCCTATCAACAGTATCTCAGGAAGGCCCGTCTCAATCAAAAGGACCCAATCCCGTGTCTATTGATTGCTGCGATGGAGAAGCTCTTGATGAAGAAAATTGACAAAAGTTCAGGTGTGCGTGCTGGGCCAACTGTTGTGGTGTTTTCATGCAGCGAGCCGGTGGTCAGACAGTCTCCGGATCCAATCTCTAAAGCTAGAGAAAGCAGAGAGTGCATCACTGGTCACAGGTGAAGCTCTAGAATCGAAAACATCGGTGACAAAAGAGGCTCAAACTTGCCTCCTGCCCTACGCTGCAATAGGCACCGGAGTGAGCGGAGAACCTTGTGCAGAGAAGTGGATCAATTCGAGGGCAGAGGAGCTTGGACGGGAGCCGGATCCTTTCCTACCCGCATTCAGTTGCAAAACGGGAAGATGGTCAACCAATGTCTAGCTCAGAAGCCACGGGTTATCTTCAGGATTTCATCAATGAATGCCTGCCTCTGCCTGATTTGAAGATTGATCTCAACAAGATAGGTACCCATTCTCTCAAGACGGGTTTGCTCACCATGGCCGCCAGATCGACATCCATCAAATTTTCGATGTCAGAACGCAGAACTCTTGGACATCACATCAAGCCATCAGACAGGTCTGTCCCCACATACTCGAGGGAAGCTTTCACCAGCCTATATGCCAAGGTGCTGGCGTGCTTTCAACAGATCCAAGCAGGATCCTTTCGCCCTGACTCGACAGCTCTTGAACGGATTATGGGTGCTGCAACAGAAATGGTCTCAGGGTTGCCAGCTCATGCGGAGGTTCCGCTCCGCTGCCCACCTGTGAGGTGCCGGACGAAGCAGATCCATGGGAGGTTTCGACAGAGTCCAGTGAGGAGGACCAAGCCCTAGTTGGAGTTTTGAGCAATCAGGAAGAGGTGCAAGGCAGAAAACCCTTTCCAAGTGAACAGGAGGTAGATTGCATCGTCCACAGGAAAAGTGGCATTGTCCATGCCTTGCAACCGTTGGGAGACTACACGTTGTGCGGTCGTCCAGTGACCGGCAACTACGTAGAATTACAGAAAGCCGACACCGAAGACATGGAATGCTGCATCCTTTGCGGCCGCCAACTAGGAGTAGCAGCTAAATCGTGCTGAACATGCGACGAGAGAAAAAAGGAGCGCGGCCTCAGTTTCAGTCACATCAGAGTGAAATATGTCAACTTTGCAGAGTCACTTACATATCAACATAAATGTTTCAAGCTTAACCAAGATCAGCAGAGATCAAGGTTGACGTTAAGGAGGAACATGGAAAGAGACTCGCAAACTGCGACATATAGAAACGATTAGACGTGATCAGCAGAGATCGAGTCTAGTCTCGACAGAGTTCACCAGAGTTCCTTTTGGCTTTCAGCAGTTTCAATCTGATACCTGAATCGCTCCATCCAATATCCGCAATGTTGGCACTTGAGATTCAATCCTTTATGGTCATGATCTACACCTGAATGGGGGATGATCCAACGGGCCAAAATCGGTTTGACTGCCAGGAAAAATTGGAGAGCTTGGCCGATTGCATCAGCAGGGTGATCCGACACCTGGGCTTGAGCAATTTGACCGAGCACCTGGGCGACTTGTGGGTGAATACCCGAAGGGCATTATGCTCTTTCAAAGGAGTCAAACTGGAAGCGTCTGTTGACATATCCATATCGGCGATTGGGGTCATTCCTCATCGGACAAGGGGCTTTAGGGCCCTAAGGGAGCTGGACCATTGCATTCTCCAAATTGAGCTGGAAGAAGCCTATGAGACCGTGCAAGAGTTGATTCTTGCTTGTGATCCAGGGACTCAGTTGGAGACATCCATGCAGTTGATTTTTGATACCATGGAGGATATGATGATTATCATCAGCGCGCCCATCGATCTTAAACCTGCCGATTAACAAAACTCGGACATCAGTCAGGATCAGCGGCGAGGAAAAAGTGGAGGCAGCGCGGCTGACCAGCGAAGTTGAAGATGTTGGCATCAGAGCCGCACTGCAAAGTCAGATAAATTTAAGACAGATGCAGTCACAATGAGCATGAAATCAGATTCAAGTTCATTGTGCATGGCCGCAGCCCAATTTTTTGGGAACAATTTTTCATCCCCAGGTTTGAAAGAACAACCAAGAATAGACTTTACATGTATGTTCAAACAAAATGTTCATCAGAGAGCATTGCACACGTTTATGTCACACCACAACTAGGCAAACAGGATGCCACCTGACATTCAACAGAGATAGGATAAACTACTTTCCACATACAACTTATATTAACAGACAGATCCAATTACGTCTGACAGCCATGTCCGTTCTTGACAGCAAAGCTGCTTTTGCAGACAGGCTAAAACAATTGGGAATCCAAGATGCCCTCAAGGGCGAGTTACAAGACAGAGGGTTCGAAACCTTCGGATCCCTGGCATTTGCAGTATCCACAACTCCGCAGCAGATCACAGATGCAGTGTTAGAAGCCTGGCTGCTCAAGGTCACCACCCGAGACCTAAGCCCATATCAAACATCCTGTGTGAGACGCTTAGTGGTGGAGAGTCACGCATTAGCATTGAACGACCTGCAGCGCAAGGTGGATCAACCATCGGACCCCCAGTTAGCAGCAAGAAAGCTTCCAGTTGCAGAGCGTCAAAGTCGCCAGACAGAGCAGGAGCAGCGACTGCAGGGATTGATTTTCAGCCCAGAAATCATCCCAAGCCATGCCTTAGTGGATACATGTGTCAACATGGTGGAGCAAGGAGTTCTTTCTTGGATCAAACCCGAGGATTGCACTTCCAGAGCACAGGAAATCCAGTCACTCAAGAGAGACCCCACTTGAAGATTAGTTCCAAGACCATGAACAGCACATGCACCATTAGCTCAGAGTTGGATCTGCGCAATGCCTTCCAACGCCGATCCCTTGCCATGGATCTAGCGAAGTTGTGCTCATTTACAGAGATTGAACGCTGGATTCAACATTTGTTCCTGTCACACGAACGAGCTCAGCCATCAGGATTTGCGTCCGTGACCTTGCAACAGATTATCGAGTGTGACAAGCAAATGTTCATCCGTGCATCCAATGCCTTAATAGGATCCTTGCAAGCCGAGCCGGGGGTCGCAGTGACCCCCTTGGACAAAGAGCTCGCTACACTCCGCACTTCCCCAGAGCTCATGCCATATCTCATGCCCATGCCAATGAAATCTATGCCCAAAGCAGGAGCTCCTAAGCCAGATAAGAGGCAGCCACCGGATTATGAAGACCGTCCAAACAAGTACCAAAAAGGCAAGGGCAAGGGAAAAAGCAAAGGCAAAGGCAAGTCCAAAGGGTCCAAAGGATCATCGCCGGCAATCGACATTCCACAGGGCTGTGTTGCAAAAACCCCAGATGGAAAGCCGCTGTGCTTCGCATACAACAAAGGCATCTGTGGATTTCGAGGGTCTGGGCCTCGTTGTCAGAGAGGCTATCAGCTATCATCTCTGCTACAAACAGGGATGCCATAAGCCCAAGCCATACCATGAGTGCAGTCACTCCAAAGAGTGACAATCACAATCCAGCGAAGGCAAGGAAGATCAAACCATTTGCCTTCCATAGTTTCACCTCAGCAGCCGTTTGCCGTCGAAATCTGTTGTGGGAAAGCATCCTTGTCCAGAAGTCTGATTGATGCAGGTTTTTCCGTACTAGCTGTGGATCATATACTTCATGACCCCCAAGTGCCAGTCACCCTCTTGGATTTGACACAGGTCCAACACCAGAAGATCTTAATTGATCTTTTGAATAACCGACCGCCAGACTATATTCATTTGGGCATGCCATGCGGCACTGCATCCCGAGCCCGGGAAAGGCCCGTCGCCAGGGATAAAATTCTCCAGGGAGCACCACAGCCTCCGCCCCTGCGATCAGCCGATTACCCACTAGGCCTTCCCCACATTAATCCAGATAGCACATCCGGCATTAGACTGAGCAAAGCAAACCAGTTGTACAGATTTGTCATTGACATCCTCGTAATTGCTCAGAAATACAACTCAGTGATTAGCTTGGAAAACCCTTACCGGTCTTGGTTTTGGGCAGCCATTTTGGCATATGTACAGGCTCAAAACGATCCCCAATTAGTCAAGTTTTGGGATTCACTTGTAAAGGCTCAGCGAGCTGATCCTGCTGTTTCTCAAAACTCGGCGCAAGGTCAAAGACCTGAAGCGCACTTGTTGGTATAGCTCCTAATTAGTTCGTGTTGTGCTTTGTGGGTTTGTGGCATATTTGCGTGGATGGTAACTTTGTGCTGAATCTGCTTGGCAGGCGCGTGAACCTGTTATCTTGTGACCCTCACCTGACATTATCTGGCACATTACTTTTGTGTCGTGAAGGGTCTTTCAACGAATACCGAAACAAACCTTCGTGAACTGCGCGGTCGTGATTTACACACTTTTTATTTGTGTTTGACCTGACGTTTGTTTCTGTGTAACCGTTTAACTTGAAAACTTATCAAATGAAACATCGGAAGTCACTGTTCTTATCACTGATGACGGCTATCACTCTGAATTTATCATCCCAAGAAAGGGTAGGGAGGGTGGGTGCTCAATAAAATTTGAGCACTGATTGTTGCTGAATTTTTGCTCTGATGCCATGGACGTTACTGCACAACTTACATCGCTTACTGTACCTCAATTGGTCTCTCTGCTCATCGCTCTCGTGTGCGAACTGACCAGAAGGTTGAATACACCGATCGAAGTGGCAGCTACCATCGGTGAGGCCGTGGACGACAATGCCCCAGATGCTGGAATGTCAAATACATCCAACCCAGCAGCATCATCTGCTGCGCCTACGACACCGTCAGGTCCATTGCCCGCTGATCAATGCCATTTCATTTGCGGTATTGCCAATTGCGACAATTTGTGTGCAGCTACATGTGACCATGGCTACCACCGATGCGAGCAGCACTGGTGGTACTGAACCAAACATGAGGCACTGTTTTGCTCTGTACGCGGGGGAGGCTGACCAAGAGCAACTTAATTTTGATTCAACTTTGGTTTTGGGGGGCAAAGAGACTCCTATGTTTTTACAACAACCTGAACTGCCAAAACTCAACTGGGAGTTTAGACAGCCCAAATTGGACCTGGTGTCGGACTTGTTCAAGTTGCCGGCGTTTTGCATGAGATTTTATTGGCAAAAGGACTGGCGGCTCGAGGAAACCCTCATTTGTGCAACAGGTACTATTGTTAGTGAAGACGTTTTACAACAGTCACCAAACGATTTCTTTGCTGAAGCTGTGGCTACTCTAGCCAAAGGATCAGCTGACCACACAACGTTCACGGAGTGGGCGCTCAGAACTGACGGAGGTCAACAACTTAATGTGGCAAACGGGATGCTTGTGCATGCGTCTTGGTGCTATGAGACAGTGGGGCAGATGCTACTTTTGGTGAGGCTTTCATTTCAACATAGAGATTCATGGTACGTATGGTGAGCACTGACGTATCAGTGGAAGGCAACTGATTTCAAAAGATGTCACGAAAGATGTCGAAGACCAGGGCCAACGAGGCCAACAGAAGGAAGCGACGTGCTTCATCTGGTTTATTTGGCAATGCCCATCTCTGAGCATGGTGCCAGTGAACCTTCCCTGGGAAAATCCGGGAGCTCATGAATTTTGTGAGCAGCGCAATAGAGCCATTTGCCTTGACCTTGAACTAAGAAAGGGAAAAACACCTTGCGCTTGGTGAATTGCAAGCGGTGAAGTCGTGAATTGTGGCTAATCAGGTGCTGCGCACACAACTTGGTTGCAGGAAAATTGCAATATGAAGATTTCATGTTGTGCGCTGGCTCAGATAAGGGTTCGATTGGGAGAACGATCAAATTGGAACCCGTGATTTTTCCATTCAGGGAAGCATCCATATTTTCTTTTTACACTGGCAACTGAAACATGCTGTGATTTGTGACATCATGAAACAAACAAAACTAAACCACGTGACACCCTGGCACGCATAGAACATTCAGGTAGTTTTGCGAGGCATTAGGTTGACATGAAGGTTGTCAAACTTAGTTTGTACCAAGCAATACTTTCGCAATGGCTTCAATGGAGTCGACTGCCAGTTTCAAGTCGCGAGCTGGGGAGATTGGGATGTCAGATCACTTGATTTCCAGACTGATTGACGGAGGAGTTGACACCTTTGGGAAACTAGCCTACATATGCAGTGTTAGTCCGACTTCAGGTGACGATGGACCTCTTAAGGAAGCGTTGAATAGAATGCTGACAGGTGGCTCTGCGTTGACCCCGCAGGAAATGATTCTGCTGAGGAGGCTGTGGTTCGAATCTTACACCTTGACGGTGACGGAACTCACCAACAAACTGCAGAAAAACCCCAGTGACACACCCAAGTCCATTCCACTTGCAGAGCGTTTGGTTAGGATTGATGAACAAAAGGGCCGCCTGAAAGGGCTTGTCTACGACCAATTTTTGGAGCCTGCTCACTCGCTGACAGACCGCATCCAATCGATGTTAGAGGACGGGGTTGTCACTTACCTAGCACCGGAAAAGTGTGTCTCACGACATGATGAGATTCAAAGCAACAAAAGTGAGCAGCAGTTGAGTTTTGATTCACAGGGCAATGTCAAGGTGACCAAGGCTGAAAGCCAATTGAGTTGCGACGTCACAGGTGAATTGCGGTTGCGCCAGTGCCTCACACGGAAAGCTCTTGCGTTTGACCAAATCAAGTTATGCTCATTTGATGTGATGGAAACCTGGCACAATTCCATGGTGCAGGCGTTGATGCGCAAACCACCTGCAGGCCATAGATATGTTACGGTCCAGCAAATCTTGTCGGCCGACAAGGAGTTGTGGAGCTTTTTGTCGCAGAACACACGTGGGAAGCTCAAAGTAGCGATTGGTGAACCCCCAGCCTTGGACTCAGAAATGAAGATGCTGATGTCATCGCCCGCAGTCCTGTGTTTCATGACTCCGCTGCCTGGACAAACCCCGAAAGTTGAGACTCCCAATCCTGCGGCACCCTCATCAACCAAGCCGAGTTCGCCGAAAGGAGACTCCAAAGGCGACAACCGACAGCCTGGAACCAAGAGAAAGCTTGAGGGAGCTACAACTGTTAAGGAGCTTCTGCAGAACATGCCAGCCAATTGCACGTCAAAGACTGAGCAGAACAAGTTCATTTGCTTGCACTCACTATAACAATGGCACATGCAAGAGACAGAAGGCTTCGTCATGCAACATGGGGGTCCACATGTGTTATTACAAAGGATGCGGCAAGAAACGGCCGTACATCGAATGCGGACACTGACAAAGTGAGCAACAACCTGCAGATCCCAGACCCGAGTCATCATCAGATGTTGCCGTCTTTGTGGAACTTTGTGCAGGTAGCGCAATTTTGTCGTCTGAAGCTTCGAAGAAAGGATTTCAGACGTTTGCAGTTGATCATGAATTGAACCGTTTTGCAACCAAGTCCAAAATTTTTCTGCTTGATTTGTCGAAGGATGAATCCAGGCAACTGATTTCTGAAATGTACCACAACATGAAACCCAAGTGGACACACATGGGCCTACCTTGTGGTACTGCATCGCGAGCCAGGGAGAAACCAGTGACTGACAGGCTGCGAAAGCATGGAGCGCCGCAACCTCGGCCTTTGAGGGATCAAAAACACCTTTTGGGCCTGAGTAATTTGACGGAATATGAAATGCAAAGGGTGAATAGTGCCAACGATGTTTACCGTACAGCTGAATGTGTTCTTTTCCTCATTTACACTCTGGACTTGTGGGTATCAATTGAAAACCCGGAACGATCCTGGTTGTGGGCCATTTTGGCATTGCTGGTGAAGGAACGAGGCGATTCCGGTTACACTGACTGGTATTTTAATTTGACAGATACAACTTTTGATGCGTGCATGCACGGCAGCAGTTTTGCAAAGACAACTCGATTAAAGGGCTCCCCAGGAATTTTTGACAATTTGGCTGGGAGGTGTGACGGCTCCCACAACCATTCCAGCTGGAAAGTGCAGAAGATTGGACAACAATGGGTCTTCAATACGGCCGCTGAAGCTGAATACCCAAAAGTTCTGGCTGAAAGAATGGTTGACGCCGTCGCAGCAAAACTTCCAAAAGAGATTCTGGAAAACACTTGCCGTTTATTTCGCTTGGACTTGCTGCGACAAGCTGACAAGCAGCACCGTCTTGGGGAGCAACTTATACCCGAGTTCAAAAGAGTCTCCTTCCTGTCTATGGTACCACAAACAGGTGCCTTCAAAGTGATTGCACAGCCTTCCACTGCGGGGGGGAACAACAAAGGCCATGCAAGGGATTTGGAGACCGGGCCACAAAATTCCCAATTGCAATACAAAATTGGTTTCTACTTTTCACCAGTGGAACACTTTGATCGAGCTCTGCAGCTGAGGCATCCGGCGCTGGAATTTAATGTGGTGCCGGATATTTTGAGAAGAAATTTATTTGATTTGTGCACCATGGGAACCCATGCCATGGCTCAGAAGAGAATTGCCAGCCTCAAAGAAATCATGAAACTGAAGCTAGCGTTGGTTGCGGAAGAAGAACAGTTGCGCAAGGGCATGGAACCTCACGTGAACGCTGTGACTGAAAACAAAACGCTAGTCTTGTGGCGCAAACTGCTAGAAGAGACTGGGTTCACGGACATGAGCGTGTGCAAATACATGGAGGAAGGAGTATCGTTGACTGGCGTTGAGGATGAGTCGCCGCTTTACTGGCGGAAACATGTTCCGGCATCCATGACAGTCGAGCAGTTGAACCACCAAGCCCTTTGGAGGCGCAAAGCCCTGATGGGGAAGCCCATAACGGAGGATGAAGTTGAACAAGAAGCAGACCTGTTGCGCGAGAGCCAAGAGGAGGTTCGAGCGAACTTCTTGGAAGGGCCCTTCACAGAACAACAGCTTGATGAAAAACTTGGCACCAAGCATTGGAGCCTTACCAAGCGATTCTGCTTGTACCAGGGGGAAGAAAGGAAGATACGGGTAATTGACAATTACCGGGACTCTGGGATTAACTCTGCATTCTCCTCTTCGTCCTACTTGGCCTTGCAAGACACTGACTTCATCGTAGGGCTGTTGCGATTCATCATGGTGGTGCTGGCGGGGAGGGACAGAGTGATCGTACACCTCAGCACCGGTGAAGTTTTGGAGGGGCCGTGGCATGCGTCCATGCGTGAACATGTGGCATGGATTGGGCGGTGCATTGACCTCAGCAAGGCCTACAAACAAGTTGCGATCAGCCGCAACTCTTTGCAGCATGGTGTTCTGGGATTCAACACCAAAAGTAACGGATGGAAGCTGTACACTACCTCATCTTTGCCCTTCGGATCTTCGGCATCGGTATACTCCTTCAACAAGATCAGCAGAGGCATTTGGCACCTGCTGGTTCACAAGTTTGGATTTTTGACCAGTGTGTTTTATGATGATTATCCCATATTCGAAGTTGCTCCCCTTGCTGACTTGACTTCCCGAATAATCGACGCCTTCCTGAATTTGCTTGGATGGAGGCATGCAGTGAAAGGGAAGAAAGCCATTGACTTTTCATCCCAACCGATAGCATTGGGAGTGCAATTCAACTTGGAGCAGTTGGGACATGGACGTATGGAGATCAAAAACAAGCCGGGTCGTATTGACCGCATCTTAGAACTGGTCAAGCAGGTCCGCGACGGTGAAGGACGAGACCGGTCGACAATTGCGTCGTTGGCAGGGCTGATCAACTTTGCTGGAGGGTTTGTTTTGGGACACCACTTCAAACTAGGATCACAAGCTCTGAATGCGTGGGCCTCGAAACGGCACTCAAATCGAGCCGATGTGGAGCAAGTATGTGACTACCTCGAGGTGGTGGCAAATGCAGTCCAACCAAAAACAGTAGCCCTCCACGACACAGATGCGCCTTGGGTGATATACACTGATGGAGCTTTTGAGAACCAGAAGGGAACCTGGGGTGCCCTGGCCTACGACCCGGTGACCGGGAGGAAGCTGGTGTTTGCGGGCGAAGTGCCGGCGTGCTTGATATCTTTCTGGCTGGACAATGTTGGAGAGCAACTGATTTGCGAAATTGAATTGTTTGCATATATTTGTGTACGTTGGCATTTGCGGCACGAGCTGAAGGACCGATACGGCCTCCTGTTCATTGACAACGAGTCGAGCCGCATGACTTTGATCAAAAGAAGTTCACCCTCCAATGCCATGTTCTTGATGGTTTCTCTTTTGAGCTTGCTGGATACGGTGCTGCCTTTTAGTGCCTGGTGTGAAAGAGTACCAAGCGCATCAAACCCTGCAGACCTCCCCTCCAGAGGGAAAGCTCAAGAACTTTGTGACCTGGTAGGAGCGACCAATTGCGGAAACATAGTTCTGCCAGGTTATGTGCTGAGCTTTTGTCAAAGGCCACGTTTTGACATAGAGTTGGCTGAGCTGGTGAAATTCGAAGCGGCATAAAGCAAAACACAAAGGCTGCAACTTTGGGGGAGAAAACAAGCCTTTACTTTGTTTGCAGAGGAATGTGGAAAACGTGATTGAGTCGCTACACGTGAACTCATGATGTGGAGGCGACGTGAAATGTTCCATGCTTGAAGCAGCAAACAGAAACGGATCATTTTCCCCCGACACGCGGTGACAAAAAGAAATGGCCGACTCAGCTGAAAGCCACTGTCAAAGATATTTCCAGCTGCATTTCCTTTTCAGATGTCTCTCTCAGTGAATCAGTCTGAGTGTTTGTTTGTATATTTATATTTTAACACACGAATTTTTAATATATGAATATGGTTCAGTTTACGCGTATACCCGAGCATATAGTACCACCACGCGATACACCACAAGCTACATGTAACACCCACTGAATATGCACAACACATACTTAACCTGCTAGTACCGACAAGAGAGGGTTAGAAACGCTGAGGTATTTTTTCACAATTGCTGCCACGGGGGTCACCGCAAGAAAGGCACCCGTTGGAAATCCACTCCAGGAGTTTTCGCCCATCTCGAAGCCACCTGTGCTGGTGATCACGAACACCTGCCATACCAGGTTCAACAAACCAACGGCAGCTGGACATTCGACACAGCGGCCGAAGCAGCTTACCCTGAGTTGCTGACACGTCGTGTGGCAATGGCTGTCAAAACTTTCTTATGCAACGAAACTTGATTTTTAGTCCACACCCTAATCCAAGAATCAAGACCCTGGCGGTCCAACATCGCCAGCATAAGAAAAGGAGCCAGCTCATCCCTGAGTTTTCCACAACAGACTGGCATCCGAACACATATAAACTCTCAGAAAACCAAAAATTGATCCCTTCTTCCAGCAGGGGGGAATACCAAGAAGGTGATCAGACACAAACAACCACGGGAGAAATCCTTGTGGGGACATGGCACACCCCGGAACAATTTGTAAACAAAGCTCTGCACTCTTCGCACCCGATGGAAAAGAATGCCTTGCATAAAATTACAAATGATGCCATCGATTTTGTCGCCAAGAGCTCTTCAAGATTAGTATCCATAGAGAGGAAAAAGAACCTGTTAAAGGCAAAAATTCTGGCTAGGCAATTGGAAAGCCAGGAAAAGAACTCCACGCTAGCCTCCCAACCTCAATTCAAAAAGTAGTTCAGGACAAGAAGATCTTGTTGTGGGAGAAACTACTTGAACTCAACAATTATGACGACATGGAAGTAGTCCACTTCATGAAGGAAGGGGTCCCCCTTGTAGGAACCCATGATCACCCCTCTAGCTATGCTATGAAGCTTAAGCTAGCCTCCACCACGGAGGAGTCGGCGGTGCCATCCCGGTTGGCCCTTGAGATGAGGAGGCCACAGACGGACTCCCCGGGATTTGCAGAGCACTTGGAACCCACGGCCCAAGAGGAGGTGGATTTAGATTTCCTAGAAGGCCGCTTCCACTCCGCGGAAGAAGTCACCAACCTGTTGGGACATTCAAAATGGAGAATCATGAGAAGGTTTGTAATTGAGCAGGGAGCAAAGCTGAGGCCTATAGACGATGGGTTAGAAGCTCAACTCAACTCTGCGTACACATCCACTATAAGACTGGACCTGCAGGATGCGGATTACGTTGTAGCCATGGCACTGAAATTGGGCAAACACAAGGGACTGAACTGGGTTGGTAAAACCCTGGATCTTTCAAAGGCTTACAAGCAGCTTCCCATCAAGCCCGGCCATAGGGACCTAGCTGTTGTGTTTTTTAGAGATTCCCAAGGTAAGCCTAGGTACTATGTCCCCAATGCCCTTATGTTTGGCTCCACAGCCGCCGTGTACGCATTTAACAGGGTGAGCAGATCCATTTGGTTCTTGGTGAACGTAGTTCTCAAGGTACCCTCTGCGGTGTACTTCGATGATTATCCAATGTTCTCGCCTGAGGGTTCTTCTCAAGACACCGATGCCCTGGTATCGGATTTCTTGGACTTGTTGGGTTGGCGTCACGACAGGACGGGTCCCAAGGGAAAGCCCTTCTCGCCATCCTTCGATGTCTTGGGTATGACTTTAGATCTGAGTAACTTGGAATCGAAGGGGCACCTCACCTTGAAAAACAAAGAAGGCAGGGTGGAAAAGATAGCGGCCAAAGTACTACAGGTCCAGCAATCAGGCCAAATGTCTCTTCCAGAGGCTCAGGAGATTCATGGGTTACTAAACTTTGCCACAGGGTACTTTGCGGGGAGGTCTTTGAGATACAGCTGTTTCAAAATTTTCTCAGTAGTGGGCAAAGATCAGAGCATAGCCGAACCAACACAGGACTGGTGCTGTGACGTCCTGGTGTTGCTGGAAAATACCAAACCACGTACCATCCCAGTGGCTATCAATTCAAAAACCATCCTGATCTTTACAGACGGGTCGTGGGAAGACGGATTTGGGGGCCTTGGAGCCGTGCTTCTTGATGAATCTTCAGGCTCACGAGTCGTCGTTCAAGATCAGGTGCCAGAAGGGTTGTTGTCCTTGTGGAAGGGATTGGTAGGAGATCAACTGATCTGCCAAATAGAGCTATTGGCGATGGTCCTTGTGAGATGGCAATGGAAACATGAACTCCATAACCGCAAAGTGCTTCTTTTCGTAGATAATAACTCTGCTAGAGGGGGCACTGTGAAAGGAAGATCGAGTAGTCCCACCATGGACGATTTGATCAAAGCCTTCTACTCGATAGAGGTTCATTTGCCATCTTTCTGGTGGATAGAGAGGGTCCCTAGCAAAAGCAATCCAGCTGACGAACCCTCACGCATGGAGGGCCGAGCAGCAGCCGATCGCTGGGGAGCCACCTTTGTGAATGGATTTTCGTGCCTTGACACAGTATCAACTTGGCTATCCCAGGCAGCAGCAAATCGAAAAGATCCCAAGCAGAAGGGCCCGGTTTAATATAAGGGGGTAAGTTGGAAACCGATCCAACCAGTTCCATGCTTCATCACTCAATCCAATCCGATGGACTTGAACGCGAGCTTGGAAGACATTGTACAGGCCAGCAACGAGATGCCAATCATCTCAACCGTGACATTCCCCCGATCTGACAAAAAGAGTGCCGCGCAGCTTGGGTTTTCTGATGTTGTAACTTGAACAACAGCATGCTAATTGCAGAAGCAAGATCAGTAGGATTTTTGGGTCAAGGAACAGGGACAAGAAGGGCGTTTACACAACGTGGATAGTACTTTCTTGGAACTGTGACTTGAATTATTTCATGTACACATACATGAAATTTCCCAAAAATCCTAAACTGACGTATGGCGAATTCAAATGACAAAAGATCTGAGCGTTTGAGTTTAACCATGTCAAAGAAACATAGATCGATAAATAAAAGCTGTCAAATCATATTAGAAAAATCTTCTTGTATCAACCTGTGAAATTGGAGTGATTTTATGAATGACGTGACATTGGGCTTAAAGTCCTTCATCAGAGAAGGCAAGCAAGGCAACAGAGCCTATCATGTTTATATCCATGTTCACAACTGTTCAAACAAATGTACAACAGATTGTCGTGAACATGGTCATCAAAAAGTCAACTCCACTTTCAATCACTTCAATTTGAAGATTTTTCTTCCCGCCCTCCCTCTCCAACAGGGGGGGGTAAGTTGGAAACCGATCCAACCAGTTCCATGCTTCATCACTCAATCCAATCCGATGGGCTTGAACGCGAGCTTGGAAGACATTGTACAGGCCAGCAACGAGATGCCAATCATCTCAACCGTGACATTCCCCCGATCTGACAAAAAGAGTGCCGCGCAGCTTGGGTTTTCTGATGTTGTAACTTGAACAACAGCATGCTAATTGCAGAAGCAAGATCATTGGGAATTTTGGGTCAAGGAACAGGGACAAGAAGTACTTAGTCTGTTTTCAGGACTCGGACCGAGCCTTTGAGCTTAATCGGCCACATTCCGAGGAAAAAAAAGTAGCAAAAGGGGTATGGAAATACACACTTCCGTGCAAATGTGCATGTGCTGTGTTTCCGGCATGTAACTTGCATTGTGGCTACAACATGATGGTTTTGACAACATGGTTGTGCGCTCTGGAAATGATGCAGAATGGTTTGAAGACATCTGGCATTGGTTGAAATATCGTGGAGATTCATTTTTTTGCATGCTGATCTATTTCAGAAGAATGATGTTTTTGGCAAAACAAATATTTGTCTCAGATGTTATCTGGTCTGTCAATGAATTTGGAGATGTTTTGCTCTGGACCTTTTTGAGGTCAACTTCAACGTTGTTTTTCAAACACATGTGCATGCGGTTTTTGCAACAACTTCAACTGAAATGCCTTTTAGCCGAGCTGCATTTGTTTCTGGAAGCGGGATTTTTTTTGGATGATGTTTTGGGACGTTTTTGAATTTGTGACAACGTGTATGAAGAGAAGATGTTTTTGGAAATGGTTGAGAGTGAATTCAACAACTTTCTGAATTCACTCAGCTTGATGTGAACGTTTGAGAACTCCAACTGCAATTTGGAATGCCACCGCTGCCTTTCACAAGACAGAACAGCTGAGACAGAAGAAGTTCAATGCATGCGTGTTGGATGTGCACGTCAACAGTTTACCTTCCTCGTTTTCCTGTGTGGAAAAAGGAATGGCGTGCTTGTGCAGTGAAGCTGTCGTTTTTGGGAGAGTTTGTTTTTGTTTAGACGCTGGACGCGGTGAGGCCGACCCCAACGACGCGCGCGAACGCGACTAGTGGTTGTAATTAGGTTTTGTTGGATTTTTCGCAGCAAGACCAATTGGTCCCATGGAAAGGGCAAAGGACAAGGACAGCAGTCTCAGTCTGAGGTCAAATGTTTTCGTTGCAATGAACAAGGGCACTATGCCAAGGATTGCACAGCGCGCACGGTGGCTGAAGATGGTGGACAAGTTCACGAAGCTCCTCAAGCATCTTCTTCTAGGACTTTGGTCTTTGACATGCGTGGTGGAGGTTTGGATAGGATTGATGAGTCAACTACTCCATTGGTGATGAGGAGAGCTGTGATGAAGGGAAAGTACGTGCTGTCATTGAGGAGCTGGACACAGAAGAGTTGGAAGAGGAGATTCCTACAACAACAATCATCTTGGATTCAGGCGCCGACGCCCCAGTGATTCCTGGTCCGGTGACTGGCTACACCATAGAACCAGCGTGGTGATGGAAAGCGTTTGCAAGATGCCCAGGGCAACCTCATTCCGATCCTTTGGCAAGCGTGACCTTGACATCTACTTCACAGATGTTGGTGGACGTCGAGTTTGCCTACGTGAGAGGGTCACCATCAGTGATCGGGTGTTGCAGCCTATTTTGTGCTTTGGGAAGCTATTGGAAAATGGATGGAGCATGAACTCCAAAAGTCGGACCTTGGTCCGAGGGCTCCAACCCCCGATCCCCAGCGACATGCAGAACAGAAGCCTTGTTGTTCAGGGCCACATAAGGATGGTGCAGGAAGACCTTTTAGAAATCAGGCTCATGAAGGCTGCAGTTGATGTTTCTTTACTCGGGCATGAGCATGGATGGCGCATGCATGACAAAGGCCACGTCATTGGTTTTCACATTAGCAACAAGTTCATTGACCCTTTGGACTACAACCTGCAGTTTTACGATATGTATAGGACAAAGTTGTGTTAGGATGAAGATGGCAATGGCAGCTGGAAGAAATTTGTGAGAAGATAGATGCTTTGGTCTATTTGGACAACGAGTTTGAGACACCTGGCATGCGCAACGTGCTCACCATTTTGACCGAGAGCTTCACCTTTCCTGAGGAGATGGGTTTTTCTTTGGAAGGCGAGTTGGACTTGGAAGGTTTGCGTGCTGCTGCAGCTCAACATGAAGCAGTAGCCGTGGAGCAGGTGGAGAGGCATAACTTCACTCATACACCATTTCAGAACTGGTGCCCACACTGCATAGCACATCGCTCACGACCAGGCCGACATGATCGCACAGGAGAATCAAGGGAAACTGCAATCCCTACAATCAGTTTGTTGGATGGTTATGTGTGACAATCAGACTGGCTTTGTAGGATGCACACCTCTCAAGCACAAGTTAAAAGCTCTCGACCTTCACCCAAAATCTAGGCTATACCACAGTGTGCTACCTGACAGACAATGAACCCTCGACAAGACGATCCTCAGGAGCATCCTATATGCTCAACATGCGCTTGGTTTGCCGACAAGGATTTCTACATCAAAGGTCAAGGACCACTCCAATGCTTTGGCAGAGAACATAGTGAATCGCATACGTGGTCTTTGTGGCACTTTGATGGAACAGCTGCAGTCCAAATTCAAGATGAACATTGGCACTTCAAACCCACTTTGGAGTTGGGTGCACGACATGCTGCATGGCTTCTGAACAGGTACAAGCCTGTGAGGGGAGCTATTCCTTATGAGTTGGTCCATGGCAGGCCTTTCCGTGGTGTTCTTGCTGACTTTGCTGAGCCAATTTATGCGTAGTACAAGACCAGCCTCAAGGGTGAGAAGAAGTGGCATGGCTCAATCATGCTTGGGAAAACAGAGAATCATCAAGATGCTTTCATAGTGTGGAATGGACAAAGGATTTTCCTCACTCGCTTACTGCGTCGTGTGGGACGGTCTTGGGGCTTGAGCCTACCTTTCTACAAGTTCTTCAGTGCTCCTTCCTATGACTATCAAACTGGATTTGGAGTAACATGAGGCTGAGACAGTGGCAGAAAAGGCGGCAGAGGAGAACACAGAAGCTTTAGAAATGGCAACGATGTCAGCGGCAGATGATCATCAGAAAGTCAGAAAGCTGTCTTGTTTCCTTTTGAGGATGAAAACCAGCTTGAAAGTGCGCCCAAGGAGGACATCCTGGTTGAAGAGATGGCAGTTCAAGAATCAGAGGATGTGCAAGAGAGAAAAAAACAATGGAAGTGACTGATGACACTCCATTGCTGGACCTCAAGCTGCCGATGGACACCAAGGTTGTTTACAAGCAGGACACTCCTGGACCAGTAAGCGCGCCTTCAAGTGCTTCGAGACCTCAGGGAGATGAAGAACCACGTTCCTCACCTACAACAAGACCCAGCGTTGCAGGAGATGAAGAGCACAGTACTAAGAAGGCTAAGCTGTCTCCTGCAAAGAAACTGAGAACCGACAATGTTACTGAGGAAATGGCTTCCTGCATCAGGGTTGTGAAAATTGGTGAAGAGGAACTCTACACCATTGATGAACCCGATGCAGATCCTTTGGAACACAACACCATTGATGAGCTCTATGACTCTATGACTTTTACTTGGAGGATGCCCATGATGGTGGAGGAGAAGTTCCTGATTGCTTTTGGTGCGATGGAACTGTAGATGAGAAACCACCTGAGCCAGAAAGGTATATATATATATATATGTAGATATATATGTATATAATTATAAAACAGCACATATAGTGAGAAAGAGAGAAAGAAAGAAAGAAAGAAAGAAAGAAAGAAAGAAAGAAAGAAAGAAAGAAAGAGAGAGAGAGAGAGAGAGACAAGGGAGGGAAAGAGAATGGGTAGGGCCCAAGGTCCAGGTAGATCGCCATTCCCACCAGAGCGGTAAAGAGCACTGTTTTCTGCACTGAGACGCGCTGAGCTATCTGCGGTCTGAATGCTGGCATCACAAGGCACCTTGCTGCGCTTCACGAAAACACGCACTGCCTCAAAAACTTCCAACATGTCCTGGATGTACTTGCCAGGCATGATAGAAGTGCCCCCTTCTAGTAACCTGTAAGAGCGCTTCACAAAGGAAATCTCATCACCAACCTTCTCCAACAAACTGCAACTCAGTTCAAATTTGCTCTTCAACATCGGTATGAAGACATCACGTATGTACTGCCCTTCTCCCATGACCATCATGTCATCTACATTACATGGACCGACACCACCACCTGTTCATTTCTCAGAAAACATGGGTTCAAAACACATGCCTTGAATCCCGAACTCTCCTTGAGGAAGTTGCTGATGTGGTCAAACCATGCACGAGCTCCCACTCTCTGGCCTGGAATGTTACGGCAAACAATCCAATCTCCTCCATCCATCTTCAGCCTAAGGGGCTGCTGTTGAGGTACTTGAAGATAGGCATCCTTGATGTCCAAACATCCCAAGATGCAAGGGCTCATGCTCTTGAGATCAGCAAGCTGGTACTGAGAGAGCTTGTGCAAGTAGAGAACAGGCAAAAGACGTAGCAAATGACTTGAAGAAGCCGGGCTAAAAACATCATCACGTTTGCCTTCAGCAAAGGCATACTCATGCGCCACCAAACGCGCACGTCGCATCCATCTCATCACCTCATGGCCTTCATTTGTCTTGAAGGGCTTCAAGCGCCAGTCAAAAACGAAGCGCGTTGTGAGAGTCTTCTGAATGGAATCATCAAGCCCATCCATTGCAAATCTGATCACCTCCATCTTTGTCCAACGCCTCAGATATAGATATAGATATAGATATAGATATAGAGACAGATATAGATATTATCCTACCCAGATTGAAATGTTCCAACGGAACAGCAGCAAGCAGCGGCTCGTCACCAGAATGCCCCGGCAGCTACTTTGATCTGAGCACAATAGTCAAGGATTGTGGTGAAAACCTAACCAGAATCTGAGTACAGCTTTGTTTTTCGCTACAGCTTCGTTCAGGCAGTTAAAAAGGTGGGAGTGCAGATGCATTTGAATAGTAGCAGTGCTCAGCGACAGTCAGAACATGCTGTTTGATAATTGCGTTAATTGGTTCAGATGTATTGTTTTCATGCAATGTACTCGTTTCAATGGAACTGTCAAAATAAATTTTCGCAACTGCTATTTTTGGTGTTTCAATCCAGCGCCGACATATTTCACACAAAAACAATTCCACAATCCCAAATTTGAAAAGAAATGCGGTTTCCACATCATTTTTTTGGCGGTACTTCGCAAAAAACCATGATTTCTCGATGAGTTATTGAGATGCCAAGGATTTTCAACATAATTCGCGTTGGAAGGTCAGCATGCTTGAAAACAACACATGCAGAAAAAAAATGCAAGGTGCAAAGGTTGATGCATTTTTTGTTCATGGCAAAAAAACATGTTTTTAGCCACAACCATGTCTTTAAACATATTTTGGTCTACACATGTTTTTCCAAAAACATCGTGTTGTCTTGGTTCAATTTCAAAAAACTGTTTGTCCGCCAGTTCATGTGAAAATATCAATTCATTTTTCTTTTCGTTCGGGGTTGCTGTAGAATAAACTTAGAAATATTATTGCAACACAATGGAAAAACAGAGTTCTGGTTATCTCGGATGTGGCAGTGCCGGATTTGTCCGCGGTTCCGTTTCCGTTTTGTTAGCAAAGTCATGTTTAAGTTCTGCCATTTTGTGGGTGTCTTCCATTTTTGGACAAAACCATGCAGCGTGTTCTCAGCTGCTCTGTGCTCGAAACCACTGTAGGTGCCATGCAACGCTTCGCCCAGCACACATCGCTGAAAACACTACATGGACCCTGGCAGATCGGTCCTTAGCGCACTTTGTGCTTTGATAGGTTTTTGGTTTCATGGGTTTAGTGGCACTAAAAAAAAAAAGGGGTTTCCGGAATATGATCAGGATGAAATTTTGATTCCAGATCCTGACAACACCAGTGGTGCTTGCGATCATTTGCAATGCCGAAGTCTGCACTGTTCAAAAATCTATGGACGTTGTTGGACTGGTTTGGTTTGCTCGGAAAGTAGCAGTACTTCACATGCCCAGTGCTGGTACACCGTTATGAAATTGTCAAGGTGCGTACTGGGCGGCTTGCCATCCATCGCGGTGGGCTCTGCTTCAGCCTCATTTCCGATTTGCAAACCAGATAGTTTTCGTTTGTGAATCAGACACGGGGCAAACTTTCCAAGGTACGGACAAAGAAATGGAAACCTTTCCACTCCATGTCCGCCGCCAGCAACGTTATGACAATCTTTGCTTTTAAACTTTAAATTGTTTTGTTTAAAACTTGAATGCCAGGATGATTTTTCATTTTTTTTCCCGTTCTTTCTTTCTGTGTAATGAACAAACAAAAAACAAAAATGCAGGTACAGAGCAAACCGCTTGCGGGAAATTAGACAGAAAGAGGCCGAGGACGCGCAGGCATCAATTTCCGGTGTTGGGCGGGGATAGGTCTCTTTGCTGATGCCTTTCTTGCCCCCGTGCAGCACCATGCGCTAAAGCGTCACTTGAGGAAACTGAAGGGAAGGGACGACAACACTAGGGACTCAAAAAATCAATATAAATGGGAAACTTCACCATTCCAATACTCAAAGGGATTGGTAGATCAAACCTGAAACAATGTGTATGGTTATGTACAGGTGACATTGGGAACGTCCAGATTTTCTTTCTGACTGCAAGGCTGCAGCTGCTGAAGCCGAAGCAGCTGCAGATGCACGAACTGTAGCCCGAAAAGCAGATGAACCGCGGGTGTGTTGCTTACGCCACCTAAAAACTGAGATTGCTTCGTCCCAGTGCCGTCCCAGGTTTTTTTGAGTTTAGTGCTGGAAACTCCTTTGATGACTTGGTGTTTGCATTTGCAGTGACCTTTCAGGTTGGCACCACCCCATTTCAGGCACCAAACAGTTCTCTCAAGCGGATTTGCATTTGCATGGCAGTTGTGCTATTATAGATTTTGCAAAAGGAAATATGCCCTTTTGCAAAAAGAGTAGATGGGGCCTGATGTGTATCATTTCTCATCGTTCAGACATATTAAAACCATTGACCTATTGAATCTATTGGTTGTCCAGTGGAGTTCCTGGATCATCAACCAGTGGCAAGTGACAGGCAGCACGCCTGATGCGGGCCTTTGACGTGTTGCCCGAGGAGGATGCGGTGGTGACGTTCCAAACCAGGCTTGGAATCTGTTGAAACCTTTGGAGATCTCTTGTCATAACCTTGCTGAATTTGCCGAAGGCTGAATGTGGACTTGACCCGTCGGACCTTCATGTTTGTCTTGGTCCGAATAGGATTTTTGGCATTTCTGAAGCTCGAGAAAGCACTTAGGCTGTTCAGAATCTCCACTCGACAGAAGGAACCATACCCTCAAACTCTTGCCAGGGGAAAGTGTGAGAGGCACTTGCAATTTGTTTTGCCCTTGGAACTTCTGATGCTCCAAAATTACAATGACTTTTGCCTCCTGTCGTGTCGCAGCAAGGCCTCATGGACTGAGCACCAAAATGCGAGTTTTGGCATTTTGTCCTGACGATCAGATAGAGGATGTGTAGTGAGAGTTGTGCATATGTGTAGCCGTGTAGCCACCGTAGCCACCTGTTGTGTTATGTCGCTTCTCTTTTGCTTGCCCTCCTGCAAAGTGACATAATTTGCAATTGAATTTGGGAAGGAGATGCTGGAAGCCGGAGCAGATGTTGCAGGTGTGCAACCGGATTCTTATCATTTTACACTTCAAGTGGAAGAGACAGACCTTGAACACAGAATGAAGAATTTCCTTGCTGAGGAATACAGCGAATCGTGCAATCCACTTCAGCCATTGTCGGCCATTGTCTAGCGTTGTGCAGGAATCACGGAGCCTTTGCGACGAATCGGCCAAGGCTGGGTCTCGGAATTGAGCTACTTCTGCATGTCGTCAGATGTCATGTCAGCAAAGCCTGGAGTTTAGTGGAGTAGAGGTTGGATGGGCTTTGACAGATGCCTGGCCACTCCCAGCATCATGCCTCATGCTTGGATTCGTGAGAGCGACACATGCTTCATGCAAAGGTTTGTCAGAGTTTGTCATCCATGAAATCAAATTATCAGTCATTGATTGGATATCCTAGGGATCCTGATCCCTCCAAGCGGGCTTTGCCCGAATTCCAAACTGCTCACCGCTGTTGTCAGTCAGAGTCTAGTCCTAAGGCCTCAAGTGATGAAAGTGGCGAAGGTCCTTGGCCCGAGGCACCCATGGGCCAAAGCATCAAAGCTGGCACTGGAAAGGAAGAGCAAGGCAGTAGCATGTTGAACGGTTATCCGATCGACATGCTGAAAAAGATCACTGTCCTTCTTGAGAGTTCTTAACTCCACGAGACTTGTAGAGTTTCATCACTGGAGAAGGTTAAATACTAGGTTCATAGCAGACAACAGATGCCTCCATGGCGAAAGCTTCCAAATGCTGACGCAGAAACTGCTGGAGCAGTGTTGTGTGAGGACTCCTTGGGAGTCTTCTAAAACGGGACCCCTTCCCGAACTGTTGATCGCAGCCGGTAGCATTCTTCAGCATGCGTACGGTTGAGTGTGTCGGTTTTTGGGTCTGGGCTTAGCTGACACAAAAGTCACGTCTCAACAATTCCCTCCAGGTCCTGTCGAGACCTCTCGCAAAAGACTGGGGACTCTTCCGCTACATAGGAACTGGACTCATTGTAAAACACACACACATATATATATAATTATATATATATATATAAATATAATTATATATATAATTACATATATAATTATATATATAATTATATATATAATTATATATATAATATATATAATATATATATACATACACACATACACATAGTTCATGCCGCATGTTCACAGAAGGTACCGGTAGCTAGATGGACTTGCTTCTTGCTGTACCAATGATCATGACGGGATCTTAGCCCCCTGCCCCTCTTCCTCCCGCCCCTGATACTCCCTACTGCTCATTGTTCATGCTAAGATGTAGACAGCATGACAAATAGTATTTCCAACCTGGCCGTGCAAATCCCTTCAGATCCGGGTTTGTGTGAGTAATCTTCTGTGTTTGGTCCTCTATGACGAAGCCCTTTTTGCATCGAAGGATCCTAACATTCATCTACTTTGCTACGCAGATATATCACAGTTGTATACTCGTGTTACATAAACTCAGTAGGATGTCCCCAGCTTGAAGCTTTCGTCAAATCCCTTTGTGTCTCAAGTTGATGTTTGGTCAGATTTTCACCAGCAGCCAGGAAAATGATGCCAAATCCCAAGAGTGGCACCGTTGTGCCCAATCTGAAAGTTGCCATCAAAGAGGTGGAAATTGCCAGACAACCAGCATCAGGATGTACTGTTTGAGACGAGCCTTGTTGCAGGCCAAAAGTGGAAGCTTATTGGAGTATCGTGCTGAAGGAGAAGGGGATTTGAAGGTGAGTCCAGAGAGATTTTGAATGGTTGTCCGGGGTTATGGAAGGAATCTGAGAAATTGTGACCGTGACTGTGTGAGAGCCGTGACCGTGTGGGATTGGCCTTTGGAAGGCCACAATCGGAAATGGAGAATTCTCAGATGCCAAGATCCTGGAGAATCTGAAGTTCTTCGCAGCACCCCAAGTCTGTAAGAGGAACTAACTTCCGACTGCTGTAGTCTTTATCGAGCCGATTCTTCCAACTTGTTCCAACTTTGTTGTGGTCAGTCTCAGTGACTTTCAGTGATTTTCAGTGGCAGCCTTTTGAGGTTCAGACCTTGTTGAGAGCAAGGCCGCGCTCCAGCACACCAGGCCTGGCACAGGTTGGTGTCAGGTGCCAATCGGCAGACAGATAGAAACGGCCAACCTCTATGGTAAAAGGATCCAAGTGTGCTACAGGTGCCGAGACTGGAACAAGCAAACAACCTCCTGGCACACCTCTCATAGGAGGGCAAGGTTGGGGCCTCAATGCTTTCGACCTTCCAAGCGGTAAACCTTTTACATATATCTTAATTTGCATGAATTCAGGAGCTTCTGCTGGTGGTGCCGAAGTGAAGGCGCTGGTGTTGGAAATTTGTGTCAAAGTGTTCCGAAGTGTTCCGCTAGAGTGGCCTTGAGCTCCTCCTGCAAGCAGCCTGACTGATCCATGTTGATTCCAGGAGAACTACTTTCGAGAAGCTCACGTGAGATTGGGAACCAGAGGTCCCCCCATACGCTTGAGCCTCAGTTTGACTGGCCATCTTCCAGTCACAACTTTGCGTTGCCAGTCACAGGTGTAGCACGAGAATGAGGTTTCCAGCTTTGCTTTATATAAAAATCTAGTCACATTATGTCAGATTGCTTCTGTGTATTTAGTTTCATTGTTTGAGCCTTTGCTGCCACATGCAAATTCTATAACACAAACGCTTGCTTCACTCAAGGTATTGATCCCGAGTCAATGATGCCGGCTTCAGCAGGTTACTTTAGATGATGGTGGCGTAAAACGCAGATGTGAATCCCGCTCCAGCAGCACGGAGATTGAGATCACTCCAGGAAGCCAAGAAGCCTTCTGTGCCCTCAGAAAGCGATGTACATAGGAACGCTAAAGACTTTGCACCGAAAAACATCGGCCTGCGAAAAAGGAATGACAAGACAGGATCATGGGCTAGCATCTGATCAAAGAACTCCGGTGCAACATTGGCAAGATTGACATAATATATACTCTTTCAAACATTTAATCGCAACTATTGAAACTCCCATCAACATTTGGCTCAGAAATACTGGGTCCTGGAGAGCAACCTCTCAGGCGCTTGTCAGAGATGGGCTACGTCTCCAGGATGTCCAGCTGTGATTTTGGTTCTTCTCGCGTTTCAGTTTTGGGTGGTCACGGGATGTCACCGGGTGTGGTTTGTGCCCTTGCCATATCAGGCAGTTGTAGCCATGGCAAAGAAAGGAAAGAAGAAAGCCCTGGATCCCGAGGCCAGGATTCCAGACTGTTGAGAGAAGCGCATTAAGGAATAAATTAAGATAAATTAAGCAGATTCTGGCAGATTCTCCTGATTTTGGCTAAATTCCATGGTTTTGAGACGATGGGATGTTGCTAAGGCAGCAGCCCGGCAAGCAGCTGCAGAAGCTGAAGAAAAGAAACGGTCTGGAACTCACACTCTCAACTTCAACAATCTCAACAATCTCAACATCGCTCAAATTCGTTTTTGTTGCAGCTCACACTCTCAACTTCAACAATCTCAACAATCTCAACATCGCTCAAATTCGTTTTTGTTGCAGCTTTAAGGAGGTGAGGTCTGTAGCAAGTATATATATATATATCCCTCTTTGCTACCCAAGGATCGAAATGATCAAGGAAGCAATGAGGCTGCGTGCCAATTGCGAGCGCGAGGAGTCTGTGGGCATTTGTTTACTTGATGACTTGATGTTCCTAGATCCGAATGCAGGTTGGGGTCCATATAAAACTTCTGCAGCATCTGTGAGAATTGAAGTCTATGCCTTCAAGCTCCAAGCCTGTGAGGAGAATCATTTTCATCAGTTCCTAATGGAACGAGAGAAGATCAACTACTTCTGGATCGTGGAAAAGAAAACACTCACAGAGAAGCAGGTTGGTAGTCTCACATCTCTCTATGTGGCCTTTTCAAAAGCTTTGTAGATTTTGGCAGGCCCATGTCTATTTCTGACTTGTACCAAATCCCGGAAGCCTGAGGCAGACCTGCGCAACAAGCAGCGAGAGCTGCAAGACCTAGAAGAAAGACAACAAATTGAGTGGTCATCTCAGGGCAGAACGCAGTTGTCTGAAATATTTGTAATAGGTGCAACGCCACCAAGTTTTGACAAAGCACTTTGGTACTGGCCCTGCATATTCAAGGTTGAAGATGTTTCAACAGCGCCTGAAGCACTTGAGATACCATCAGCAAGATGAGGCAGCAAATCACCTCACGCATACACGTATTCTGAGTTCAATTGCACCAGCTGACTCTTCAAACAAGTTTTTGCTTGCAACCTTGATCATATTCCAGGAATCAAAAGTTCCATGTCAATCCGGAAAGTATATGAAAGTATGACATAATCAATCATAATCACATTGGCGGAGCAAAACATATACGGTATATACATCATGGCAATACAAAGATTTGGACATGTGCAAGACATGTGCAAGGTGGTCGAGCTCAAGACTGACGCAGAGTTGGGCCTGAAGCTCCAAGAAGACCACCATAGAATAACAGAGGCGGAGATCAAGAAGGACTGCTGCTACTGCCACTGCGAAGTTTGACGAAGGGCAAGAGAGTGACGTCATGAGAAAACGTGAGTTTGACCTTTTGGAAGGATCAACGTGCCTTGAAGATGGAGAAAAAGGAAGCAGAAGTGGTAGCACGCTGAGTGAGATTGGTCATGTCTGCGAGGAAAAAAAACTCGGTGCCAAAGGGCAATGGTTTAAGGCATCTAATTATGAAGACATGGCAGTGAAGTTCAAAGTGAAACTTTGGCACAAGATGGGTATGTACTACATGTACATGTATGTACTGGTTTTCTGGTGTCTAATCAGCCTGCATCATCATTCCCCTCCTCCTCCTCCTTGCCATCCTCACCACAGCAGCACCAAATTTTTCAACTTCACTACTTCATCGCCAGATTATCACTACATTGTCAGCCTTAATAATGTCGTGCACAATCCATCATCAATCATTACAAAGAATTGCAGCATCCTGAGCAGCCTGCTCTCCTTCAGGCGCTTAGGATCTTGTCTGGACATTTTATCAGCAGATCTGGCACCAGCATCTCTGGATTCGTATGCACATGAAAGTCATCCTAGCCTTGAAAGATTGTGGGGACCTCTCTTCACTTGGGAGGATTTGGGGAGAGTCAAGCTGAGCAAGGCTCCGATATTTCAGGGGCAGATAGGAGGGAAGAGCTCATGGTTCCTGTCCTTGTTCATGAGGTTCCTCACTGACTTAATCATCTTGGCTGTATTGACGCAAACAATTTTCCAAATTCCAGGTGCAGGTGCTTTTGGGTTTGTATCAGTTTATTCATTTGATTCCGGCCAATCCGGCCAACGAGCTTGGTCTCCGAGGCCCAGCAGGATTTTACCCGCATGCTGAAGTTAGAGCAGGCCTAGAGTCCTAGAGCAGTGTTTTTGGAAACTTGAAATTGATACAATTCGGTCTTTCACGCTGCAACATGGATGTCGATCAATGTCGATCCATTACCTTTGCAGGATCAAAAGATTCTCGAGCTGCGACACGAGCGATAGACTTGGCGTGTTTGTCCGACGAAAGACTGTCAGATCGGCTCTCATGCCACATTTTCGCATACCTTGCCACTTTAAGGTTCGATAGAAAAGCTCGAGACATGCAGCAGAAGTATGAGCTGAGAATGAAAGAAATCCGAGAGGAAATGGCATTTGGCTCAGATGTTTTCTTGGGAAATGTGAATGAGGTTGGATACTCTCCCATCTCTAAGGAAAAGCAGCGAAAAAAGCAGATTCAGCAGATAGAGGAGCTGGATGCTTACGCAGTGTTTATCACACATAATCTGAACCACCAGATCTTTTCCGCTTCTCATATCTGAAAGTGCATGACATGAGGTCCAAGAACACCCAGATTGAGGGGGCAGCCTGGCCTTGAATAAGACTGACTGAGCAGAGCAGTATGCGACAGTGACAGCTGCGACAGCTGCGACAGCTGTGTCGGTGATGTCGGTGTGTTGTCCGCGGAGTCCATGCTAAGAGGTCATGAAGAAGAACCAGCAGGACTTCACGGAGATCAAGGTGGATCCATAGGATTTTTGTCACCGTTGTATGTCTTGCGCATGTCATGCGCGTGTCTTGCGCATGGCATGTTTGGGCCAACACGGGCAAGAGTGTTGCAGAGGTCTACTACCAAGAGATCACAGTCTCCAACTTTGACTCCATCAAGCGTTTAAAAGAGGACAGTGGATTAAGCATTTTGCTGCACGTTTAGAGGTGTAAGGCCTAGATTTGTGCAGGACTACGCAGACATCAAGAAAACTGAGAACGATGACGCGAAAAAGATGTATGATTTGGAGCAGAGCTTGCCCCTCAAGGAAATGATTCGATTTGCAGTCTTTGCAATTTCAAAGTTGTCAATGACTTGATGGTCTCAGGAAACAAGCAGCTAAAAGAGCCAATGAAGAAAGCAAAGCAGGCTCACTCGGGCTCACTCGATTGAATCAGCCATTTTTGTGAGCAGAGCAGGCCAAAACAAGTCTTGATGGGCATCTCTTGACAGGATGTAGAGCGACTCGAACAAGAAAAAGAAGCCTACAAAGAGGAGATCACGGGAGTTGAGATTTGTACCACAGCAGCTGGCAACACCCTTGGTTACCTCAGTTGTTTCTTGACAAACCGCTAGTAACCCCTCAGTTATCAACGCCTGAAGGACAAGAAAAGGCTAGCTCAAGTGAAAGAGAAGATCAAGCAGTCCGAGACGTCGGCAGCTCAATTTGACCATCGACTTCTGCAGCCTTCAGATGTTTTTTTTGCTGTAAGGCTGCTGAAGCGGATGGAATTTCAACATGAGGCCGCAGCTTCTGCGAGGATATCTGTAGAGAATATGTTTGAGGGAAAGACACAACCTCTGTAGAGGCCAAAGAACTTTAAAAAAAAGAGTTGGAGAACCCCAGTTTTGGGACGCAAGAAAAAGACAGACAACTGCGCCCAAAGGAGGAGTGTGGTTCTGATTCAAAAACAGTCAGCAAATAGATAGCCGCAGGATGCCCCAGCATTCTCGTGGGCTTTGTATTTGCAGGTGCTCCAGCAGCAGTTGGCACACGTGACCTCAGAGCGGGAGGAAGCGCTTGAGATGTGTTGAAGCACATGCACTTCCACACACTTTCATAAATTTCCGTTGGACTGACGTGGAGGATCTCTACACAAAGTTCCAGCAAGCCATTTATGATGTGCTGAGCTTACCCTGCCCTGCGGAGAAGTGCACATTTGACACTGTGGATCTGCAGATCTTTGCTATTCTACTGAAGGTGCAGCAGAAGAGCGGATTGAAGAATTTGATCCTGGAAAAGAAGATTGATACTGTGGAAGAGGCAAGCTTTGCATGGCAGAAGATGATATATATATATACAATATATATATATAATATAATATATATATAATAATATATATATATATATGTGTCAGCATGGATTTGAGCACTTTGTTGGCCTTTCCTTGGTGCGTGACAAGGCCTTGGAGACAACAGAGGCCCAAATAACAGAACTTCTCGCTTCCGCAAACGTCGTGGGCCTAATTCATTGACATTCGCAGAACCAGTCCCGTAGTGGGCATTACGTTTCTTGGATTCTTGCCTGAATGCGTTGGCCGTGTCCCAACAGGTTGATCCATCCACATCAGCTGGAATCACTCAGAAGCTTGACCAGGCCCATATTGACTGAATGAAACAAGTGTAACTGAATGAAACAAGAGACAAAGTCCGGCCATACAAAGCGAGCTCCTGCACAGCAGCCAAGTTGAGTTGAGGTGATTGCCTACAAAGACGATATTGTTGGGCAGCTTCAGGAAGGGTTTTGAACACATTCAGCATATCAGCAACATGGGAGCTCCAGTTTACTGCGGCCTCTTTCAGCTTGACATTCAGCGGCTACTCACAGCTCGTTGTGCTGAGTTGCAGTCAGTTGCACTGCTAAAGCTGGTCATTTTGCAGTATTTTGGGGGCTATCCCTGAATTCATCAACAGAGTTTGCTAGTGTGCGGTTTACATCACCCACATTTGTGCACGGATGCAGGAAGAAGTTCAGCGGATCAAAGACTCCCATTCCACTATGGTCCAATACTTAGCGCTGGCAAATCGGGGAGGATGACTCTCCAAGCAAAACAGTGTCACAAGCCTACTTTATACAGATTATAGATTGTTGATAGTGGAGCCGTGGGGCAGCGGCTAGCTGGAGTTGCTGTGTGCTTCAGAAAGTTCGCTGAAGTGCACAAAATGGGTGTAGGGGTTCTTTTTGAGCACCACTATTTTAGATGCTTTGTCAAACTGGTCTCCTTCCGTGTATCGCCTAGATGTCATCCACTCTTTGTTTCACTAGCTCTCGTCCACCAACCATTTGAGTCACAAATTGTAATCAGAGATTTACCGTCACCACTGCACTACTTTCAGGTCAAGACCTACGAGTCAAAGTTGGCAGAGTACGGCATCCCGCCAGAGGAGCGAAGTGGACAAACTCGGCTGCCAGATGTGAAAGTCCGAAAGTCCTAGAAAGTTGTGCTTCGAGTCTGCCAGTGCTGCCGCTCTCAGGAGCTTGGCTTTGTCCCAGCTGTTGGGTGAGATCCTGACAATCTCTTGGGCGTGTACAGATTCCCAAGACTTTTCCACGTCTCACGTGCTATCCGTGCTATCCGTGCTATCCAGGCTCTTTGAAACTCAGTCTAGAACCTAGCAAATGGATCCTCATTGAAATCATACTGTAAGGCCTTTGCCATGGTGACTGCAACGCGCTTAAAGCTCAGGAAGAAGCATTTCCTGGCTGTTTCACTTCGCATGAACGGTTTCACCAGAAATTTGCAAACATGCTGCAATTTCCTTTGCTGCACTTTTGAGGCTTTTGCTTGTTTTTTCTCTGTCAGTTTTCCACAACAATGCAACACGATGAACCTCATCTTTTGCTTTGCTTAGCAAAAACACTGCACTTCTGCAGCGTTCTCCAAGCCTTGCGGAACATCAGCACCTTACACGGGATAGTGATGGAGATACCGTGACCACCAAACAACTTGCAAGGTGCAGCATTGTTTGCATTGCGTGTTCAGCGCGTTCTGTGTTTTCTGTCAGTATTGCGGAGCTAAAGGTTAAAGCCGAAAAGTGCCATTGTGAAGACTCCAGGGAGAAAACAGAGCATTGACAGTTTAGTTTTGTCCTGATATGTCCTGATATTCCTTTGTTGTTGTCGTCGAAGGTCGCTGAAGAGCATTATGGCCTGCTACACATGGAGACTTTGCTTGTTGCTTTGGATCTTTGGAGTGAATGGAGAAGGCGCAGCGAGGGAAGGTCAAAGGGATGTCCAGATGATGTCCAGATGATACTCTTCGCATTGCTGTGTCCAGGTGATGCGTGCTTCGCCCCGGCCGCCAGCACAAAGGCAAGCCTACCTCCTTGAATTTGGAAAACAATCATGACGGCTCAGATCACTTGTTATCAATGAAGCACGTTACAGAGTTTGATCAGATTCAAGTTATCTGTGTCAGTGGCTTGGAAGGTGCTACTTCAAGTGGCTCAGAACTCTTCAGCTGGAAATTCAAATTCATCCACAAACAAATCGTTGAAGACTGACGATGCAACCTTTGAAACATCAACTTTGAGCTGGTCAAATTTTCAAGTTCGGCTACTGATGCTGGGGGTTATGACACTCTTCTTCGCTGCCTGTGCTGCAGCATGGTGGTTCAGCTTTCAGCATCCAGATGCATTCCGCCTGTCTCTCCAGGACACCATGACATACAATGCATTAGGATTGCTGAGCTGGATAGCGCTGGTCAATGCTGCCCGAACTGTATGGGGCAATTATACTCTTTGGATCATGGCCTGCCGATTTTTGGCAGTGGTTCTGGCCATTGCTGTTCTGGAGATCTCATTATTCTCAGACCCCGGTTCAATGAATCCACTTGCTTTCTCTGAAATCACCAACGTTCTTACAGTGTTTGTTTCACTTTTGCTGCTCAGTTGAATCCTAGCATGAGTTTTCAAGTTGTGTCATCCAAAAAATAAGGAGAATCAGAAGCACGTCACTGAGGCCCACATAGAACAACAAAAACATATTCTAAGTGACACACCCACACTGTGAGCATGTCAAACACGTTTCCGCCAAACACAGCACGTTTCGACTCAGGTTGGGTTTTTATCTTAGCAGCTCCATAAAACGCTGGACCACTTGCATCGACGGCTTCCTCAGTCTCTTCGAGGTGATCCGAGCTTTACAGATGCAGCTGCATGCACTGGGAGTTGCACGGGTTTCCATTGATCCTTAGCTGCCGCTTTCAGATATTCAAAGACAGAGACACCCAAGAAATCCCAACAATATGTTCATCCTCCGTCATGTTCAATGAGGAGTATTTCAATATTTCCATCATTTTCCATCGCAGCTAGCAGCATTTTGAAGCTAAGGCCAAAGTTGTTCGCTGCTCGGCTGCTTCTTATGAGTTTTGAAAGGCATGATTTGAATTCTACAAGATGCGGCAGACACGTTTGAGTATTGCCAGGTGCGTTCGCAAGTCTGAGTGCTGTTTCTGAAGTTGAGGATATGGCATGGTGTCGGCCTGGCTTTCTGCTCGTTTGCAGCACATTGAAGGTCTGGACAAACACAAGTTCCTTGTCCGAGATTATATAGATGAAACACTCACCTGAATCGAGAACCATGGACTGATTTCTCCGCCGTGCAGTTCCTTCGCACTTGACAAGGAGGAAGGCTGCAGTAAGCGACACATGGCAAGAGCTACGGCATAGTGCAGAGCCATACCTCCGCTTGACTGCAGAGGAGTGCGAGTCACGTGCTTGCACAAGTGTAACAAGTCAATGCCGAAGCTTTTTGTGAAAACAGGAAAAATGCCAGGCTGTGGCTGTGTCTTAGAATTATTTGCTTCTCAATATTCTCAAGACTCAAATATGTCTAAGACCCAGGTGAATGTGACCAACATGTGTGGTCTGTACCATCACACCGTACCCCCCTCTTTGGAACTACAACTGTCAATGCCTGCGTTATAGCAAAAGCCGAGGAAGCTTAAGGACATCGATGACCCTTGTCCGATCTTATGGCTATGGGTGGCTCTATTTTTAGGCAGACTGGCCGCCGATGGTGACATACCACCTATGGCTTCTCCAACATACGGTCGAATGGTTATGTTAGCCAACGATGCACAGGTTGCACTGAAAGAGGTGCGAATGTGCGGAGAGGTGAAAATTCCTTATCTCTACACCCATACCCTCTCTGCCGTTGTCCATTTAAACAATATCCTGTGCGCCATCAGCATGGGTCTAACACTAGGCGCTTGCATTGGTGAGTTTCTTACGATCATAGATCCGAGACTGACGCTCTACGGCGAAAAGTCATATCCAACCAGTACGGCTTCGCAAGTCGGACAGGTTTTGATGGTCCAAGCCCTGAAATGCTTTTGCGCACCACTGCTTTATCAGGCATGTCTGGAGATTTGCTTTTGTCTATACAGTGCATTTGGAGGGGAGACAGATGAAGCTACCATCCCAGCAGATCGCATGGTCCGAGAGTGGACGAAGGAACTGGATGGTCTTATGGATCTGGCTGCCAAGCCACCACATTGGTCCGCCCCTGTCTTCAAAACTGCTCTTTCACATGTTCCAGACATCCAGAGGACTAAAGCAATGATGTACCGTGGTTGCACAGTTGCACATGCAAGCTTTTCTCCGGTACTTTTTTTTGCAACCCTTCAATACATGGACTACTGGGGCTATATGTTTATTGTTTGGTGAATCTGAGTGTTTTTTTAATGTTTTTTTAACTATCCGTCCAGCAAATGCAAAGTAAAAAGGATGATGAAAGAGGCATAAAGAGGCACAGGTGCGACGAGAGTAGCTTTTTTTTTTTTCGGTGCATGTGCCAAGGCAAAGCACAAAGAAAGGCATCCGTGCATGAGGCGCTATCTCATGGATTTCGAGGCCGTTTGATGGCAGGGAGGTGGGGGTATTCGGTAGTGTATTTCTGTCTAGTTGAACTACCTGAAGTTCTGGCTTTTGAAGGTAAAGACTCCAGGGAAGTCGCTGGAGGGTCTAATCTTCGGGCTCGGACAACTTCCACTGGACTTCGAGACATGTTGTTTGTCTTTGGTTGTCATGCTTTTGCACCAAAATGCCGATGCATTTAACCAGGTCATGGCTCAGAAAAATGAGGCGCACAAAGTTCTAAGCGCCACAAGAGTCTATATCGCATGTGTCGCGGAGAAACATGGACTTGTGCTTGCTGATTTGCTTGTTTGCAGCATGGTACAATGTCTCTGCACTGCAACACGCCAAGACAACATGCAATTACAATCTCAGTCTATATCTCACCTAAAATGCCAAAGGTAGAAACCTCTCACTTGGGAAGGAATAGAACTAGGGTGTTGCAAGTTTCCTTTCCTCACCAACAACATGGCTGTTGGTGAAAGTATGACCGCAGTTCCCATGGCAATTTGTCCGATACAGCATCAACAGACTGAACAGACCCCCAATAACAAGAGAAAACATCTTTTTTCTTGCTGTAAAGCCATGACAGGTTGCACAGCCATGACTTCAGTCTCAATGGGAACCCCATCTTGCAAACTTTGCAGCTCAAATTGTAGTTATCCCCCCAGCTGTGCAAAGAGTACTTCCTTGGACGGATTTCTTGTCGGGTAGAATCCTACAATGTGCCAATACCATCCAATACCGATCTGCGGGGCAGGGTGGTGCCAGTGTTTTCCAATGAGTTCCACTTTGCCATGGTTCCAGGCTATATATACGCAGCGTAGAGGTTTCCCATTCACAAACAAATGGTGTTGCAAATTACCGTAATTCCTATGGGGAAAACAACAAAGGTACTAGGGACTATTAAAAAAGCAAGGTCAAAACACCCAAAATTCCTATGGGAAAAACACAAACGGCATAACATTTGAAATTCCTATGGGAAAAACAACAAAGGTACTAGGAAATTTTAAACTCTCAAATCGTGAAACTTAACATTCAATTAGGAAGATCAACAAAGATATTAGGGAATATTAAACTCCCACCCCCGTTAAATCTTAAATTCCTATGGGGAAAACAACAAAGGTACTAGGGACTATATAAAAAAATGTCAAAACACCCGAAATTCCTGTGGGAAAAACAAAAACGGTATTAGGGAATATTACACTCCCACCCCGGTTAAACTTTACATTCAATTGCGAAGATCAACAAAGATATTAGGGAATATTAAACTCCCACCCCCGTTAAACTTCTACATTCATTGAAGATCTTCAATAAGGGTTTAATTCTCCCACCCCCTTAAAACTTCTTCTACATTCATTGAAGATCTTCAATAAGGGTTTAATTCTCCCACCCCCGTTGAACTTCTACATTCATTGAAAGTCTCCAATAAGGGTTTAATTCTCCCACCCCCGTTAAACTTCTACATTCATTGAAGATCTTCAATAAGGGTTTAATTCTCCCACCCCCGTTAAACTTCTACATTCATTGAAGATCTTCGATGAGGGTTTAATTCTCCCACCCCCGTTAAACTTCTACATTCATTGAAGATCTTCAATAAGGGTTTAATTCTCCCACCTCGTTAAACTTTTACATGCATTGAAGATCGTCAATAAGGGCTTGATGATGTTGATAATGATGATTATGTTGATGATCATGATGTTGATGTTGATGTTGATGATGATGATGATGATGATGATGATGATGATGCGTCGCCCGTCGTCATTGCGGGTCCGGGCAAAACCCAGGCATTTGCCGTATATATATATATATACTGTCAACGACTCGACTCTATATCAAAGTTCGAGCGCTAAAAACTTTTTGGCACCTCCCATTTAATGTGTGGCTGCATTGACTTCGTACAAGCTCAAGCTCCTGAAGTTTATTGGCCGTTGAGCCTGCAAAAGGTTCAAAATAGGGACGTAGTTGACAGTGTCTCCAGGTTTTGTTTGCGTGTTTCAGGCGTGTTTCAGGTGTTTGACAAAGGACAGCTTTCACCGTTTACTCGTACCTTTCAATTCCTGATGGTGGCGCTCATCCATTCTTGGCCCAAAGATATAGCTGCAAGACGCCAAGTACTGCCAAATGGTGCGCCCATGACAGCAGATAGGGCTGTTGCAATGACTGAATTCCAGCAGATTTGAATCAGCTTTTGTTCTGATCAGTTGATATCTGATATCACTTGCAGGCATGCTAATGTGGCCCTCTGGTTTTTTTCTTTGCGCTTCTTGGCTTACACCTATTGAAGGTGTGCACTCGTAAACTATATATAGTCTAGCCATGTCCATGTCTAGCCTATCGAGGTGATTCATGGGGAAACCAACAAAGCGTCACTTGGCTGCCACTTGAAAAGATCTTGTCGCACTCTGGTGTGCGCATTTCCGGGCAATTCTTTTGCAATTGTCAGTGCGTCAGGGAAGTCGAAGAGTGCAAATAAGTCTATGTCTCAGCACAGCTCACGTTCAAGGCTTTGACGGAAAACTGTGCTCACGAAGCCAACGAAAGTGTTGCCAAGGACAGATGTAGCAAAGATGTTTTCTGATGTTTTCTGATGTTTTCTGATGTTTTCTGATGTTTTGATATCTGGAGAAATTTCTCCATATTTCTCCAAGGTCCAGCAAACGGAGAAAAGGCGCGAAGGCTGAAGTAGAGGAAGAGCTTAGCGACGCTGCCACGGGCTGAGCCTTTCGGGTACTGCTCTTTGATCTAGACATGTTGCATGAACTTGTCAATGTTTAGTTCACAGATGTTCACAGTTCGAATGTATTTGAGTAATTTTGAGTATACTTGAGTACTTGGCGATGAATTTGGCAGCCGAGAAGCATCAAATGGAGATGCACATGGCCCGTTCGAATTTGCACATCTTCCGTTTCTGACACCAGATGCTACTCCATGGCTATTGACCCAGAAGCACCCGGCTTCCGGCGCTATCGATATCGGGAGTTCCTTGATAAGTGAATTCGCAAAAGCTTTCCAGTGCGGTTGCATCTGAATGATTTGTTCATTTTGTTCCTTGTGAGACGACAATTTCATTCAGCAGCTCAACCAGCCAAAAATATAAAACTCGCCACCCCCTTTGTCCTGCTACTGCAAACAATTGAATAATGCTTGACACGACCTCAGCCTTCATTTTTCCATTTCGTTCACTGTGCCAAAACCAGTTTTGCAGTTGCAATCGTCAGGTTTGGAGAGGAGTGTGTAGCTGACTTTGACGATGCACATTTGGCGTGGAGCGGAACCTTTGAGTCTCATACCTCCTCAGCGCATGGTGAATACCAAGATAGACTGCGAGCCATTCAATTGCGGAAGCAAGGATGGACGAAAGCTGACATTGCGAAAGACATTGGAAGGTCAGAGAAGTTTGTGGGGCGCTGGTGGCAGCTTGAACCATTGGCCGTTCCGCGTCCACCTGGTGTTCACCAGTACCTGGCTCATAGTATGATCAGTGAGAAGAAGGTGGATCGTACAGACATGTGGAGAGGCGTGGAAGTGGTTCGTGGGTTTTTCAAAGATACCCTGGGCCTGTACGACGAGGTAGTCTCCAGCTTTACTGCATGGAAACAAGGAGCTTCTGAGACCAAAGACTTTCGAACAGCGTCATACTTTCTCCGCTATGATCGAGAGGGCAAAATGCGAATGATGACGATGAAATCTGCTGGTTACAGACATGGTGTTGTCTCAAGATTGGATGCTTTGGTATCAAAAATTCACCAGAAAATCAAGATTACGGATCCAAATCACGGTGCTGGCATGTATTGGTTCTCAGATGGTGACGCGAGTGTTGGAAGCCACCGACATGTTTTTTGGAGTGCGAGGGTAGCGCTGGGTGCTGAACGTATCATGATGGTCGACAAAACACCCATTCTGATGCAGGAGGGAGATTTGGTGATCATCGGACCTCAGCGCCATGGAGTTCCATCGATGCCGGATATCAGTGAAGGCAGCCTGAGGATATCTGTTCCTTTCAAGCCCCAGAAGCAGGAGAAGGTCCCACAGAATGACAAGAGAGCAAAGGATGCAAAGACAGCTGAAACAGCCGGAACTGATGTGACTGGAAAGAGTTATGATTCTGTGAGTGGTGGTGAATCAGACACTTGGGAGTATGATGAATGCGAAAATGAAGAATGGGAGAATGACAACTCGGATTTGCAGACACTCACCGCAATGGGATTTGACACCTCGGCCTCTGCTACAGCTCTTCAAGTCTGCGGAAGCCTGGAGAGAGCAATAGATGCTTTGACAAATGACGACTTTGCTGAGATGTTAAAAGACTTAAAAGGCGAATTTGGCCAGGAATCGGATGATGTGGACGAAAGTTTAGCCCGTAGGTTGCAGATGGAAGAGCTGCAGGAGGACACGAGAGATTCCGAGCTTCAGGAGCAGTTTGAAGAGTATGAACGTCTATTGGAGATTGATGATGCTGAGAGGGCTTGGGATGGATATGGAGACTTGATGCACAACTCCATGCGAAGGGCCAATTTAAACCTGGACATGCTTGGTCCACAAATACTGTTTTCCATTGGTGCTGCGGCTCAGACTGAGAAGCAGTTCTTTGAACTCTTGTCTCTACATTCAATTCGAATTTTGTATGACTTTAGGCCTACTGATTACAGAGATGAGGTGCGATGCCAACAGCCTCATTTTGAAATTCGCATTTTGAAATCAAATTGTCGCCAGCGGCACATTCACTATCGTCACGTGGCCGTGGGCCGAGAGACTGCCTATGGCACATTGAAACATTTGCAGAGTGATGAAGTTCAGCACATCTTGGTGGAGTTGGTTTGGCAGGCGAAGCATGGAGGACGTACAGCATTTCTGGGCCTGGAGGAGGATTGGCGTGCCGATGGAAGAGTGGCCCTGGCTGAGGAGCGAACAAAAACCGATTCAGCAACCAAAAGAAGTAGGATGCAACAGGATGCAACCAAACGACAAGGGACTGAATCCACCAGCCCTAAGGAACAACGTATGGTACCGTGGTACCGGTATTAGCACATGAGGATCATAAGTCTCCCACCTCCATGGAAGAAAATGCACTGCCATTGGGCCACACGGGTTTGCATAAGGGGTTCAATGGTTCACGCCATGGGACAATATTCCATACTGCTGTTTCAGTTTACATATGGGATTAATTTTCAACCCCAGGACAGAAAATACCATAGCGCTATTAGGGTTACAAATGGTTACACAAATCATATCACAGCTACGAATCGCGCCTGCTGCAGTCCAGAAAACCATGAGTTTGCTGGGTGCTCGCCATTGCTTTGGTTGCCACCGAACATGTTTTGGTTGACGAATCAATGTTGGTTGATGAATCATTTTTTTGTTCACGAATCATGGTTGGTTGACAAATCACACTTTTTGGTTAACGAAGTTTTTTGATCCTGAGGAGCTGGTGAAACATGAGCATCGAGTCCATCACATTCGTGGAGATGGTTCCATCGAAGGACACCAAGTGGGGACTGCGATGCCTGACTTTTTGGTGCAGGAAGAATCACGTCTTCGGAAAGTCCATGCGCAACGCCAGGCAGGTGAACTTCAGCGCCCCGAAAAATCTGTGGATCGAAGCACCGAGGCGGTGGCTCGGTCCTTAGCCACGGAGAAGACACAGTTCGATGTATCTGCGGAACTTCGAGATGCTGAGAATCAAGATGCTCTGGCACGAGCCCAAAAACGGATGGTCCGCATGCAGGTCTCTGCCAGTAAGAAGGAAGCAGGCTTGGGAAAGAAGCAGTTGATTGCCGTGCCTTCACACATCACACGGGAAGCAGCTGCAGTGCGAGAACGACTGGAGGTCAAAAAAGGTGAGAAAATGAAAACCAAAGAACACTCTGAGGCATCTACAGAGCCGCTTGGCCCTGGAAGTAGTGCAGCTGCGTCTTCTTCGAATTCTGGGCCATCGCACTCCTTTGCCCCATTGCAGGTTACTTCAGCAACTTCAGATGTTAATTCGTTCATAGAAAGACCTGGTGAGACTGAACCTTCTGATTACGCAGGGTATCCATTTGCAGTGCCTGCAGCTCCAGCGCAGCCCGAGCAGAACGAGCAGCCCGAGGAGCGTCGCCGCCGCTGGGGTCCAAGAGAAGGACAGGGTGCTGGAGCTCCGACAGGTCCGACAGGTCCGACAGGTCCGACAGGTCCGACAGGTCCGACAGGTCCGACAGGTCCGACAGGTTCTGCATCGGAGACACATGTGCTGCGACGTTGGGCGAGAAGCACCTGAAACGAGCACACACTTCAGCATCTTCAAGCTACCTAGCTACGTGAACCAACCTTGGTGCTGACCAGCCTCACTGCCGACAGAAAGTTTGATCTGCTCAGAACGAATTGTCAATGTTGGCTGCTTGGCTCTTGATCCACCTGATGTAGCCGCGCAATTAGTGCAGATCTGGAGTTTGGAGATCGAGTGCGCGTGCTGACATTCCCTTTGATAAACTTCAAGAGGTTGCACAAAGCTGCATACCGAGTGACCTCTCTTCAGAAGTAGATCGCCTTCAAGGCCAGGCACTGCTCTGGAGTCTAGGATCCTGATGGATCTTAAACCAGCTCTTGAATCTGGATGACATTTGCGAAGACTGCAGAATGACTTTGAAATGCGGAAGGAGATGAAATGAGTCGTACTGGTAGTGAGTGCAGTAGTGGACAGGGGTTCTTTTCTCAGGATTCCTTGCAACAAGTCCTTTTTTTTTTTAGCCTTCGAAGCTGAGAGACGCAATGCCATGCAAGTCCGACCCCAAAACCCCATACCCCATGCATCCCCACGCATCCCCACGCATCCCCACGCACTGCCTCATGAGGATGAGAACCTCACAGCAGCAGACCTTGATGTGGATGCCGTAAAAGCAGAGGCAGCTGCACAAGCGGAACTCGAGAAGGACTCTGCCGGTTGAAGGTGGGTTGAAGTAGGTCAAAACTCCCACCTTTTTATAGCTTTAAACGCGCAAAGCCCGGCTGCACTTTTTCCCTCTCACTGCTTGGTTGAGATTCTATGTCGATTCCCAAATGATATGAACTACTTGGAGTTTGCATTCCTTCCGTGAAGTTCTTTTACCTTCAGCTTCTGAGACATTGCTAGCATTCATTTGATCACCATCTGTCAGGATGCACCAAAGGATGAAGAGGACCAACGCGTGATTTCAATTTCAACCCAAGAGCAGCACAGTTTGGAGTCTTTAACACAATTGTCCTAAACTGCCGCACTCGTGCATTCGCTCCTCGTAGATTTTGTTACTCCAGCCTCCAGCTTATTGTCATAGGCTCCTGGAACTACTCTGCATGTGATGAATAACAGGTTTGGTTTCTAGCCAGTCATCTGAAAGCACTTCAATACACGACATCCTACTCGAATTATGCTTCAGCAGACAAGTTGAACGACAACATCCAAGTGGGAAGACAGAACATGATCCTAAATGATCCTGCATAATGTTCGATGATCCTAGATGAGCGATGAGAATTTGGAGCTGTGCTGTTGACGCACTTCAAGGCCAGAGCCCAGTGTGCAATTCCTGAAACTGTGCTCACCGGCGACCCCAAATTGCTGCAGTTGATCTTGTGTCTGGCATCAGGTCATGATTAAGCTGACTACGCCTGTCCTGGTCCTCATCCAATCCCAGGTTTGGAATTGACTTCTGAGTAAGCACAGATGAATCATTCCTGGTGTTGGGAGGCATGGGGAGGAGTGACGGCCTTCAACCGATGTGATGGGGCGGAAAGTAAAGACCTCAGATTCCCAAAGACACTTCCACTTGGAGCCGAAGATCTATCGATTCCACAGAGTCTCCAGGTCAAGTCAGCAAGTCGATCTGGGATGAAGTGAAACACCTAATTTCCATTGACATGGCAGGCAGGAAGTGAACAATATGAACAATATGAACAATGCAAACATCTTCAAACATCTTCCATCTACAGATTTGTAGAGGGATGAATGCAGGCCGTGAAGTGGGTACGAGCCTGGATCCGCGATCTGCAGCTTGACTCATATTTCTCTCGATTTGTCTTCTATCTACTGTCTGCTTTCAGCCAGATCAGCCAGTGTGGTCATGTTACTTTGACTATCTTGGACTGGTGCTTTTGGGCGAAAAAAACGAAGAAGGCAGGGTCAAAAACCATGAGGATGGTGACAAACACATTGTGGCCTTGGGTCAGGACAACTTGGAGAGCTTGCGTCAAATCATGAACAGAGAGGCAAAGAGATTGTTGCATGACCTGCAATGACCTGCAATGACCTGCAAGCTGTCCATGCTATCAGCTCCTTGGATGGCAGGTGCTACCGGATTTTGACAATGCCGTGAAGGCATCTCTTGGGATTGTCACTCAAGTTATCTCAGTTATCTCCAAGTTCATTTCAGCTTCGTGGTTTTGGTTTGCCAGGACTGCGTCTTTGGAGTGATGTCACTCATTTTGCTGACTCTCTCAGCGGTGGACTCAGAGGACTGTAGCAGTATTTGAGCTCAAGCCGTAGGGGTAGCAGGATAAATCATGGGAGTTTTGTCGAAAGTTGTCGAAAGTGGGGCGCTCTCTTGAATCTCTTGGTTTCAGGAGGGACTTGAGCAAGCCAGATATATGCAGGTGCACCAGGGTGCACTAGGGTCCACCGGACAGCTCTGACAACCAACCAAGAGTCTTTAGAGTCTATACCTTGTACTTGATTCAAGATTCTGCAGGCGCTGTCTTGATGAAATTTGCAGCCTCCCCCTATGACTCCAGGGGTTGGTAGACGGCCTGTTCTTCCAGTTTGCTGACCTCCTGCAGGAACAAGGGATAAGCAGAAACCATGGTGCATCACTTTGACATGCTGAAACTCAAAGCCTGCAAGCTGCCGGTAAAAAAACACAGATGTAGATAAAACCTTGCTTCCAGCAGACTAGACTTTGCAATGGCACGGCCCTGTGCGACACTCGCTTTCAGGACTCTGATTGGCCGCTGGACACGTCCCAATTCTATAGTCTCAGGCATGATGACTTGACGATGACTTGACAATTACATTGTATGAATATTCACCCCGCTTCGCGTGGGGTGGCCGCCCACACCGCAGGTTTATTTCGGTCCGTGAGAGGGGCTAAGGGTGGTTTTCCCCCGTGGGGGCTCTTCAAGCTAAGAAGTTTCAATAAGAAATCCTTCCAAAACATTGTTTTTGACAGTGTTTTTCCAATGTTTCCAGTCAAACAGACGGTAATTTACACGTTTTTTGCCATAAAGGCAGTAAATCCTTCCAAAACATTGCTTTTGACAGTGTTTTTGTAATGTTTCCAGTCAAGCATACGGTAATTTACACGTTTTTTGCTATAACGTCAGTCCAAAACACTTGTTTTTGCAGTGTTTTCAATGCTCTGGCATCCAAAAACCCTGCAAAATCTTGCTATGTACAATGTTTTTTTCATTTTTGGCCGTTTTTCCATTGCCGGAAAGCTACCAAAATGACCCAAAATTCCATTTCAATACCCTCTTGCGCTCAGACACCCAAAAATCCTCGAAAAATGTCGAAAACACCACCGTATTCTGGTCTCGGTGCGAAACCGTTTTTGGGGTCTGGTCTCGGTGCGAAACCGTTTTTGGGCCCCCCCCCCCCAGCTAAAGCTGATATAGCGACTGCTATATTAACAAATGTCATTGAGCATTTAGTGTTGCTGTTGCCCCCCAATAAGCACGCCTTCACCGCCAAAGCGGTGTGGGCGGATTTTATGAAACTTCTGCAGTCTCTCCATGTGAAACTGGAACTCACAGAGGCATCGGAGAGTCCCCATGCAGGCAACTACTTGGACATGAGCGAAATGACTGCGGCGGCAGTAATCTTCGCGTCGTCACCTCGATTGGAGCAACAATCGTATTCTGCACGTGGTACTATAACATACTATGACCCATCTGGAAATCACCGTTCTATGAGTTCTATTCTATGCCCTATAGATTTTATAGATATCTAACCTTGAAGTGCCACACCAGCAACCTCTTGATCCTCGGAGTGCTGTGCATCGCGGTCTTTGCAGTTGCCAGTTCCAGCTTTTGAGCACCTTGGAACTCGCCAAGCGACAGACCAAGGTCTATGTATACAATTCGACAGACTTAACCCGACGCAGACTGTTGACAGGCGGTGCTTTAAGATGTCAGTTTGAACAAGTTTTATCAATGTGTATTGAATCATCTTGTGTGGGTTCGATGGCCAGCTTCCGAAGTGCTGTAGTGTACACTGAGAGGCTCTGGCATGATGGCAGCAGCATCTCACATCCATACCTACTTGGAGCAAAGTTCTTGCGTGACACAGGACCTTCTCTTCTTGACTCGTAGCAGCAGCAGTTCAGACCATGGTATAGCTTGGTTGAGGATCCAGAATCTGCAAACCTCTTCTTTCTGCCTGCTTACCATGGACAGCAGTGCGCTGCTGCTTTGCTTGTTTTCATTAATGTCAAGGTTGACGTCGAGACAGTTGTGCTGTCAGGTACGATGCTTTTTTGGAGATGGTCTCTCATGCGGAGTCCGATGAGAGGCCGGTCGTGCCGGTCGTACCGGTTGTCCAATGATGTAAGAAGTGCAAGGTCGCCTTCCCGGATGCGTTGCGCGTTGCTTCTGGGCAGGTTTCCGTACCTCCTGCAACGGCCAGCAGATCACTTCTTTGTCGTTTCAGCCAGATGCCCACGCACAGCACAGAGTGGGACGAGCACGGGTTTTGAACTGCTGTGTGAACATGTTCTGTGAATATTCGTGAAAATTGCATCTTGGCGTTTTGTCGGGCCCAGGCAAATCTACCGTCATGGGTTGACTTGGCACCATTGCGACATTCGATGCTGCTTACCGTGCAACGCTCGTTGGGATCCAGGTGGAGTTGCCCGTAATCTGGGGCCCAAACTTGTGACCAAGGTGGAGTCTTGGCAAACGAACGAGGGTGTTCCAAGGCCTTCTACTCATGTTGCAGCCTTGATGTAATACACTTGCTGTTGCCATGCTGAAAACCTTGCTTTAGGTGGTATTCTCCCTGGAAAGATGTGATGATTCCGGGCTACATTGACCGCCAGTGTCCTACATCCTTTGCTTGTCAGTCTCGAAACATGCAGCACCTCTTTTTGTCCGCTGGATCCAAGGCTGGCGCATAGATGCAATGCGGGCAGTCAACAAACCATCGAGAGAGCGTGGGTTTTTGTCTCCTGGCACAAATCAAGATTCGTGACGGAGACTCCAGACAAGTGTCACACAAGTTTCTGCTCATCACAACACATTCCCTTTGAGCCTTTGGGCCTTTGAGGTTGGTATTCCATGGAAATCATCCCGGAAACCATCAGCTCTATGTCAAGCACAAAGCAGAGGCACCAGGGCTTTGACAAGATGCGTGTTGGAGTCTTCGTAGAGAATCTTTGTTAACAATCTTGGTCATTTTGAGGTATTTTTAGTTGGACAGGATGTCACAATCGGAATGCGGAATGCCCTTGAAACTGCACAAAACCTTTGGGGCACTATGCTTCTGTGGAAGTGGCTCAAGCTTAGCTGAGCCCCGTTAACGAAGTTGCAGACTGCAGCGCACCTCTGATGGAGGAACACTGAGATCTGTCATGGGCTTGGACCAGACTTTGCCTATTTCTTTGTTGCTTTGTTCACATAACTACAACGTGGCCTCAACACTTTTCCGAGGCTCTGCGAAATGCAGGGTGTGTTGAAGGTGCTCTTGGCTTTCAGCCTGACAACTGTCATATCCCTAGCAAGCTCTCGATGAAGCAAGTCTTGCATTGGTTCAGTCAGAATGAACAAAAGGTGCAATATTGTGCATGTGCAGGGTGATGCAGGTGATGTGGGGGCTCAGAAAACCAGTTTGCTTTCTCTGACAACTAAGGCATATTGTCATAAGGCACGGCTCTTGCTTCATCAGGGCAGCGCGCTGTTTACAAGAGCGTGAGTTTTCTCGTAGCCTACATGGCCGTGAGAGGCTCAGCCTCGGCTACGTCGCGCTGACGTAAAAGAGGCAGCTTTGTTTCTGTCGTTTGCAGATGTGGGTTTTCTTTCCAGCAATGCCGTGGGTTTTCTGTGCCTGGTGTCTAATGCTTTGGCCGGTGCTGCTAAATTGGGCTGTGATGGTGCTAGAAGAACCCTTCGCTGTGTCAATAGCTGCAAACACCAAAAAATAGCCGACGGCCGGGGTCGAGGGAGGCAGCTCCGAGGACAAAAACAATGCCACACTGGAAAGTGTCCGGCTGATCTCTTGCATCTGTGGTGTGCGTGGTGCATGGTGCCAATAAACCCCGAGGTAGCTCTTCTTGTGCTTGGGTCTGGCTTGCTTCTTATTGTAAAACCCTGTTCGGTTTGGTCCGTGCGATCGGATACATGTTGTGCTCTTGTTGTGCTCTTGTTGTGCTCTTCTGCTGACAGCTGCTGAAAGGCTTCTTTGCTGGCTGCGCAAGGGCTTCCACATGGAGTGGGTGCGCCGAGGCTTGTGGTGCCCCATCTGAGGCCAACCATGGATGACTAGCTTGAAAAATGCTGCAGGCCATTTGGACGTAGCTTTCACGATGCTCCCGTGGGCAATGTGGATTGGGCTTGGGTCCTGGAAAGTGCTTGAGACTACACATCCTTGCCTTTTGGAGCGATGATGAGTGGTCACGGTGATGAGGTGACACACCGGCAACGCATCTTCGTTGTAGGTGATATGGATCCCACTGTTCGGGTCTTAGTGCCAGCCACAAATTTCACTGCAGCCAAGTCAGTGGCACACAAAGCTTGATTCGACTGTACTTACTTTTCGGTGATTTTGGGAGGGAATGGACATGTGAACTGCCCCTTTTTTCCAGCAACCGCATTTTTTTGGCTTTAGTAAGGCTCCAATGGACAGAGTCGATGGTACTGACCACGCTTCCGTGACGGGTGCGATGAGCCAGCCTCAGTGGCTCAGTAGCTTCTGATCTTGTGTCAGATCTTAATTTCTTCCGGTCCTTGGGCATTGCTGAGCATATACTGGACATATAATTACTGGGCACACAAATCATACAAAGATTCGTCCTGAGGCCCGCAAAGCCTGGTGGTGAGACAGTCTTGACCTTTGATGATGCGAAACCTCCCATGTCACCAGAGGCTTTGCAGCATTCTGTGTGACACACATTTTGAAAGTAGCCACTGAAGGTTCGCTTCGATGAACTTTAACTTTCCTTCCTGAGGACAGGATGCAACCGACGAAAATCCAGAAGCCTCGTACCTTTCCAGACGAGCCGCTGGGAGGTTTGCTTGTAATCAGTTTATCCTGGCTCTTGCACTTCTTGCACTTCTTGCACTTCTTGCACTTCTTGCACTTCTTGCACTTCTCGCACTTCTTGCACTTCTTGCACTTCTTGCACTTCTTGCACTTCTTGCACTTGCAACCAACTCCTTCTGACTGTGGAATGCTGACCTTGGAAAGGTCAGAACGATGCCTTGGATGGAACATCTCCTTTGTCGAACACTGACCTTCCCTTAGAACGGTCCTGATGGGGGGAGGCTGCCTTTCAGAATGGGTCGGGATTGTCTCAGAAATGACACGTCAAAATGCGTCAAATATGATCTACTGGCGTTACCCAATACTAATCCACTAAGCAGCGACTCCACTGGCCCTTCCATGTTTTTGTTCCACTGGAGCTCGTCGAATGTGCAGCGCATTTCCAACGGAGCAAACCCAGATGCCCGGAAAGACAGATGCAACAAAACACCACTCACAAGAAGAGGCATCCACGAAAGCATGAGAGCTTCCCAGCTTCCCATGCATTTGAGGCTGTAGCACCAGTGGACCGTCTACCAGCCTATGTCTCCAGGCAGTTTGATCATGACAGTCATGACAGCTCACATCGTTCGCTTCAAAGTCAGAAACCTTATGAAAACTTGATGCGAACAGATGCACCTTTCTGTCTTTCTGTTCTCTTTCTGAGTGTGCATGTGCGATTTAAGAAATTGATACTTCGAACAAAGGTACTTGGATCAGCGAGCTCCAAACTCAGAAACACAAACTGTGAATGCCTTTGAGAGGTTCACTATGGTTTAACAGTGGAAGCAAAACTACAGCGAGCCATCCACTATCCGAGGCGAACCTGGAGCAGAAACGAATGGCCAACAAGCGTTTGGACAAGGCAACCTGCTTGAAAGTCAATCACACTAGTGGTACAAGTAGTTTTTGGTTTGCATTTTGTTTGCACAAATTGTGGTGACGATGCTCTGTACCAGGAGTGGAACAGAGCCGACGTCAACAAGGATGGTGTTGTCTCTGAGGAGGAATTCAGTGTTGAACTGAAAGACAGGCACATCAAAGGGCAGAACAGTTGCCACACAGTATGGATTGGATGAGTGGTTTCGACATGTTTCGACATTTTGCATGTATGGTCCCTGTATGGTATTGTATGGTCGCATAGAACCCGCAAGGCAAGAAAAGAAACCAGATGAGATTGAAAGACTGTGGCAGAGGTTCCACCAGTGCGGCGCTTGGGGCACTCAGATCTTGAAGCAGATGTTCATAGAATTTCATAGATTCCCCGCTGACCATGGTTGACCTCTGTGCCCAGAGCACCGAAAGTGTGTCAAGGTCGGAGGATAAGTTCATGACCAAGGAAGAGTACTTCCGCTTGGCTCGTATAGGTGACAGAGTCCTTTGTTGCTCTTTTCTGACTATTCTGACTCTTTGTTTTTTTTTGCTTGCTACTCTGCTACTCCGAAACTTGGATTTGCCACTCGCAACATGCAGGCTATGACCTTGGTACCATCTCGCGTGAAGATGTGTCCACTGTCATGACGCCTGAGAACATGAAAGGCAGTCATCATTCATCATCCCAGTCATGCCTTTCTGATCCTTTTTGATCCTGGAATCACCTTGGTCACCTTGACTTTCGACCCTCTGCAGGTCTTGGATATTGGGGTGCAGGAGCTACCTGCCCTCCGAGCAGCTTCGTTCGTGCCTCAGTTGTTTTCTCCAATTTGTAGCCCTTCAACGTGAGTGTTGGCCACCGTCAGGCCACCGGAGTACAAATCAAGAAGATGAAGGCCGGTTTACCAATTACTAACAGTTTCACTTCATTTTCATCGGTTTTCATCTGTTTTCAGTGTGGAGTTGTAGGGAACAGTTTTGACTGCCTGAGGTTTCGCTTGCCCACCCTTCGATTGACGACAGTGGAGTCAATGCAGTGAAGTTCCGCTGCAGTGATGGCAGTGAGGTGCCTCTTCAATCCAGCAAGAGTGAAGAGCGGCAGAGCCATATTTATTTGTGCAGACTACATGACGCTTGAAGAAACCTTTGCGGAATACATGGATGAATTATGGATGAATATGCACATTGCATCACATTGCATCACATTGCATCACATTGCATCACATTGCATCACATTGCATCACATTGCATCACATTGCATCACATTGCATCACATTGCATCACATTGCATCACATTGCATCACATTGCATCACATTGCATCACATTGCATCACATGGCATCACATGGCATCACATGGCATCACATGGCATCACATGGCATCACATGGCATCACATTGCATCACATTGCATCACATTGCATCACATTGCATCACATTGCATCACATTGCATCACATTGCATCACATTGCATCACATTGCATCACATTGCATCACATTGCATCACATTGCATCACATTGCATCACATTGCATCACATTGCATCACATTGCATCACATGGCATCACATGGCATCACATGGCATCACATGGCATCACATGGCATCACATGGCATCACATTGCATCACATTGCATCACATTGCATCACATTGCATCACATTGCATCACATTGCATCACATTGCATCACATTGCATCACATTGCATCACATTGCATCACATTGCATCACATTGCTACCTCGAAGATAGCTCCATGAGGTGAGTACAGCAGAGGGACCTGATGGAGATTGGTCCAACTGGACCCTCTGTGATGAAGGCGAGCCTTAGGCATAGCTGTGGGGAGCAATGGAGCCAGGGAGCCATGACCCAGGTCAGAGCATCTACAGCTTCCGGTCTCAAGGTCACAGTCCTAGGCCGGTTTCTTTGGAACATAAACCTGGGAGAAACCTGGGGGACTGCAGATGGCGACTCTATGCCAATGTGACTTTCAAGATCTTTGGAATCTATGGCAATCACACCACAACCACTAACAAGTTGTCTCAGTTCATCTCTGTATCAGGAAAGGCTTGGACAATGCTGGCATTACTGGCCTTGAATTCAGCTGTCGTTCGCGACCCAGCAGTTGAGAAGACCCTGAACTGTAGTTTTGCACTGAAAAGTATTGAGCTACTTGCATCATGCTGTCTGCATCTCAGGAATGCCTGACTTGAGCCAGATGAGCAATCTGAGCTTTTCGAATGGCAACTATACTTCCCAGGCTCCGTTGGCTCCGTTGGCTCCGTTGCGGCAGTTTGAAGCATCAGAAGCATCACAAGCCTTGCCAGGTGGCCTGGTCAAAGGAGCTTCGATGCCCTCCCGGATCGGCCATTTGTGGTGCCCAGGCGAATCTGGTGAAGGCGGGAGTGAAACCAGGACGCCCGGATAATGCCCGGAGAACGCCGAAAATCGAAGCATGTGGGCCCTGGGCCATGGTTAGGATGCAGAAGACAGCATGGGTGTGGCAGACTTGCGAATGTACTGTGGCGGCCTCAATGGTTTAAAATATCTTAAAATTCCTTAAACATCCTTTAAATTCCTTAATTGATATGTTGACACGATCAATCCCGATGTGTTCGAGGTTGCGAGACACCTTTGGACTGCACAACAGTCTGCAGTGATGCCGAGCGTGGCATGAAGCGTGTGAAGCTGGAAACTCAATGAAGCTTTCATGTTATGTTCCATGCTGATTCTGTTCATGAGCTGATGATGTCAACGGTGTCCCTTTCTTTTTGCATTTTTCCTACATTTCTTCGATTTTTTTGCCAGTGTGAATACAATTGCTGTTCTCAGGTGCAGGGCTTGTCAGCAAGCGCTGCAAAGCAGTGCCAGCAATCCTAGCCGCAACTCCAGCGCAGAGCGCTAGCACTGGACGCAAGAGCTAGAGCAAAAAGTGATCAGACAGGATATCCAAGGTGGTTGAACTTGCAAGTTGTTTAGACAGGTGAAATTGTGAGCTTGGATGCGTAGTATGGCGCATTAATATGACAGCCAAGAGACTAAGCACAGCACTTGCACACAGCGTGGATACTGACGACCCATGGGAAAGTCACGAACAGTTGCTGGTAGCTGTGACCAAGAGGGGACCATGCTCAACACCGGACCTGCCAAGCAGACTTTTTACTATTCCTTGGCAGGTGCGAACTCGAATTCTGAACTCGTTCTCTGGTTTGCCTGATTGCAGCGTGGGTGGTCCAGTTGGCGATTTTTTTGAGCGCACCTTGGCCCAATTCGCAGCAAATTCTGCGCTGAGACGCCAGGTAATGCGGCTTGGTGTTATTTGCCGAGGAATGGGTCGAACTCATTTTTGTTTGGTCCCGCGTGGCTCATCAGCCGGGGTGCACAGACTTCTGACTCTAGGTAGCTGCCGCATATGTCATGATTTGACAACACAATGCTTGTAATTACAATGTTTTGAAATCGCATGGTGAACTTGATAAATATGGATAATATGGTTGATGTATGTTGATGTCCATATTCACGCTTTTCGTATTTCTGGTGCTTGGAACTGAATATTTTTGGACTAAGGCCTGGACCATCCACCTCTACGAGAGCTTCTTCTTTGGCTGTTCCGCGGCGTAGTCATTTTCATCGACTGGGTCCAGTCCTGGAATGGACAGTAATCTCCCACTGTGTATTGGTTGAGTGTTGAGAAATCCATGGCCAGTTTCCCTTTCCTGTCTTGGAGCCAGCTTATTGGTAGTGTTAATTACATGAGGTATCCCGGTGATCCTCTCAGACTTTCTGGCTGTACCTTTCCAGGGCATCGTCGACTGGACTGCCACTTGCCTACTGGAAAAATCTCAGAAACATGCGACTTCCAAAAGTTGCACGCGGTATGGAGTGACCGTTTCTTCATATTTCTTGTGAACATCCTATCAGCAGAGACAGGGTGGTCAAAATTCTTGCCATTAGGCTTTGTTGTTTCTTCTGACTACTGTCTTGTAGTATTTTGTCCCCCAACCGCGTTAGTCAGGGGGTCTCAGCCCAGATAAGATAAAGGTTCGGTGCAGCTTCCGGTGCGGGTTCCGGGCTGGTTGTACAAGGTTCAGGAGATTCCAGTGTGGGTGGGGGATTGGTTGGAGATGTTTCTGTTGTGGTCTCCCGAGGCCAGGATTCAAACTTGATCGGCTGCCGGGGCTTATTCCTTAATTTGTAATTTGATTTCCCATACTTGGCAGGACAATACATAAGAACACAACATTTTTTTTTTGTATGTTCCAGTATTATCTGCAATTCTATTGCATGAAACAGCTCAGGCTGTGGCACTCTCTGGCCCTGTGAAACACTGAGGCTTTCAGCATCAAATGGCCTGAAGAGGAAGTGGGGGAGAAACTGCTGCAGCATCTCCGAAGCATTCCGTTGAAGAAGATTGCAGAGATGAAGGATCGTCTTGAGGAAGCCGCCTGCTTCTTTGACTTTCATCGTGGCTATGGACTGCGTGAGAAAAAGGAGTCCGATTGGATAAAATGGAAGGAAAATCAGGTGGCTCTGGGAGGGGATTGTCCTTACATTGGACACGGAAATGGTGAGACTTTGGACGCCTGCCACCAGAGCTGTCAGCAGAGCTCTTGCAATCTGGTGAACTTCCACGACGGGGACTGCGTCCTTAGACGCTGCCTTGACCCAGCGCAGCCTGCCCTCACGGGAGGTGCACAAGGCTGGCAGGTTTGGTCCATGGTGAATGACACCCAGCTCCACTGCTCACCCTATCATGCGGTTTTCCAAACACTTAGCCAACGACACCAGAATCGGCCGTTTACACATGGGTGGGTGCCTCAATACTCTTCTGCACACTTTTATAACGGTCTCAGTCTATAAGCCTGTAACATTCTTTGGCGGGAAACTATCCTGAATATGTTTTTTTTGCTGACCCTGAGGCCCTATTGGAACTGAGTGGCAAGTAGGGTTGACTCTGGCGACCAAACACTTGTCGCTCTGAAGCTGCGCTAAAGGATCTGACATCTCAAGACACGGCGCGTTTGGCGCTGTTTTTCTATCAATTGAAGTGCCGAGTTGATCCTGCTGACCCTAGCATTTGCAAGGACCCAGAGAATGATGAAAAGGCTGATCCGCTTTGCCCCAAGTTGAAACACTTTTGCTGTATTGATCAGGATCGCTGGCTGGTGGTTCAGAGCAACAAGTCGTTCGCTGATTTCTCGGGTGTGTAAGGTATCTCATGGCAGATGCAACGTGCTCCAAGCTGGATTGTACACATCCTGCAGGGAACATTTGCATTTACTCCTCGCTGTGTTTGGTTGTTTCCGTGCATCATCCAGTATAGATACAGCACAGGTATATCCAGAAGGATACAAGATGGCGCAACAAACAGCGAAGCCTTGTGTTCTGTAGTCGCGGGGTTACAGCCAGGCAGGGCAGGGCCAGATCAAGGTTTTAGCACGGTGAAGTTGAATGGAGCTTGAGAACATGTTGGAACATGGGAAGTCAAGGCCTGGTATGGAGATTCTACGCAGTACTTCCTCATATTTACGTATCCGTATACTTGTAATTTTTCTCGTCGATGTAGCTGTAGCCTTGGTGGATGCATGTGTCCACGTCACTTTTAGGCTGTTAGAGAAGACCAGACACAAAGGCGTGTGCAAGTGCAAGAGACGATCCCACAGCCTAGCATGACGTGCGTGTGCAAGTGCAAGAGAAGACCCCACAGCGTAGCATGACGTACGTGTGCAAGTGCAAGAGAAGATCGCACAGAGTAGCATGACATATTTTCAAGTTAACATGAACGTTATTACCCCCACCCCACCCCCCAACCCCACCCCCATATGCACACCATACAATCCATGTGTTTTCAAGTTGACATGAACGTTATTACCCCACCCCCACCCCAACCCCACCCCCACCCCACCCCAAATGACCCATATGCATATTGTATTGCGGGTTTCTACATTCGTGCATGGTTTTGGCACGGTGAAGTTGAATGGAGCTTTAGAACATGTTGGAACATGGGAAGTCAAGGCCTGGTATGGAGATTCTACGCAGTGCTTCCTCATATTTACGTATACTGTATACTTGTAAATTTTCTCGTCGATGTAGCTGTAGCCTGGTGGATGCATGTGTCCGCATCACTTGCAATCTATCTATGGGTCAGTTGTAATCCATCTGAACATGTGTCTATGTATACAATATAGATCTATTGTAGTCAATAGGAAGCAAGTGAAAGTCAAAGTTCAAAACATTTAGCTTCAGAGTTAATTGAGGCTGTTTTGATGATAGTTCTTGTCTGAGCTGACTCGAGCTAGCAATGATGAGTTCATGAGGCAGAGAGGGGAGTGGCCCACACACAACCCCCGAAGAGGTTCCGACATCTGTGCGATGACATTCGGAAGATGATGCCCCACCACAAAACGGTCAAGCTGGCTGCCCTTACATTTGTGGAGCTTTCGCATTGCTGGTTTTTGATCCCTGCGCTTCTCTTGCCAGGAGGCAAAATTTGAGAAAAGATCAAACTTCAATGAGATTAACGAGGCCTTGCATCGTGTCTTACACAACCCGGGACTCCGGGATGCTCTGACGATCTCTGACGTTTTTCACGGCGATTTTTTCTGACACCATCTGACACCCACAACTTGCTCCTGGAGCCACTGCTCTTGCAACTTGGAATGTCAGATCTGCGAGCTGAAGAATTGCAACAACGTGGTTTTCTTCGAAGCTCGGAAACGAGAAGACCTGTGACCAAAACGGGAAGCTTTTGGCATCTTTTCGATTCTTTCGCATGATTTCGCCAGCTTCCAAGCCTCTTGATTTCGTACGGACCATGATGACCATCTGGAAGGTACTTGTGGGTTGGTCGAGTTCCATCTGGGCCAAGCATGAAGTTTCAGGCGCCTGACCTCTTGCCGTAGTCCAGGATATGTTTAAGTATTGTACTTCTTGCAAAGCTACCAACGACAGAAAACTTGATGCAGAAAACCACTTACAAAGGTGCTCAATGTTCACACAACGCAGGAGGTTAGGCTAGTGCGGGGCCTAGAATTTTGTTTGAACATTTTATTTTGCAGCTCTGTTGTCGAACTGGATGCTGGCCATTGAGGCTGGGAATTGTTTGCTCGGCTCACGGCCCATTTTGTGCGCCATGTTGCGTGGAAATACAGTGGTTGTGCATGCACAGCCAAGGAGACCAAACCAAACCAGCTTACGATGCCCACTTTGAGTGGAAATAAAATGAGAAAGGAGCAGAGAGTAAGCACGTTGGCAAACGCATGCGATAGCTAGGAGTACAGATATTCTGAGATGCCACAACTGTCAGAATCCATCACATTTGTCGCATTGTGATGCTGGTCCCTGCACCACAGAGAACAAAAACATGTGGGACATTTATTGATTTGTGCTGAGGCGCTTATTTTAGGGACATTTGTGAGATACGAGGTATTTCGACAAGAACTTCAACAATGTGTCTTATTTGAAGCTCATCAAAGAAGTCTTCACACAGGCGAGGGCAATTTTCTTGAAAGATTTGAGCCCAGACGGCCCCAGACGACTTGTGCTTGCCAGGTTTTTGGCACTCCGCGGAACCATCCCAAGAGCAAGCCATTCCATGACCACATCATGTGCTTTTACTGGCCTGCTTCTAAGAGTTTGGAACGATGCAAGCAGCTAGCAGCTAGTGAACTAGCGGACGTGTGACTCACGCATTCAACTGAGGCTGGACAAGAAGATTTGGTTCGATTCCCAAGCCTGGCGAGATCTACATTGAAAATTGAAACCCATCCTTTCTTTATAACATCTTCCGACAAATATTTTCCATGCCAAGCCAAGCCACCCCGCTTCTCGTCAAGGTTCAGGCATTACCAGATCTCACCTGAGACGCCAGAGGATGCCAACAAGCCTGAGAAGCAGGCCAAAGCCTTGCTAAAGCATTGCCAATGCCTTGCCAAAGACTGTAGGTCCTACAAGGTGCTGCTGCAGTTTGTTGCAACTTTACTTCGGCCACCAAGGTCCTCACTGAGATCGGGCCACGATTTGTCCTTGATCCCATCCGAATCTTCGGAGGAAGCTTCAGTGGACAAACTCTGTGCGCTCAGAGACTTACACTCTACAGAGTCTCCGAGTCTCCTTCTTCGGTGCTTCTGTTGAGGTCTTCTCAATTTCTTTGTTAGTTTTTTCGATTAGTCTCTGCCTTTCTGCTTTTGTGCCATTCGTCATATCATCAAACCGTTTTTGTGTCGGCACGCCAAACAGCGATGAAGGTACCTGAATCCACACTACATGTCGCCCACCGCGCTCAGGGTTCAGGCTTGGTCTTGTCATACCATGACCCTCATGCCTCACCTTTGAACGAAGACTTCGCTTCGGCCCAGGCAAGAAAACTGCTCAAGAATCCTTATGTGACTTGCCAGCTTCAAAAGGTAGTGAAAGCGAAAAACCTATTTCCTTTTGCACAAAGAGCTCATAGCCACTGTATCTTGTGGAAAGAAGGCCACACTGTACGTAGGGAAGCAACTTTAGCTCCAATGAACTGAGTGTCTGATCTGAGGTCAAGAAACTCGAGGACAAAGAAAAGCTGGAGCAGAGGAAGCAGGCAGGGTTTGAACCAGACATGAATCATCCCATTATTTGTTGCAAAGAAAATCAAAGAAATGTCAAATGCTTTGAAATCAATTTGGCATGAATGCATATTGCACTGATGGTTCAATCCAGTTTGCAAGCAGCCCCGCTCCGGATGCAAGGAGAACCAACTGCCGGAAGATCCAGTTGATGAGACGTTTGCATGATTTAAGACCCTCAGTTTGGAGGGCACTGCTCGGCAGGTTGTACAAATCCAAAAATGGAGCACACGCTCAAACAAAATTCAGATCTATTGAAATGACAGAGTTTATGTCATGGTATCGCTATACATGAGTCATTGTCAAAGCAATTTCAGCATTTTGAGTTGTTTTGTTTGGAAGGAACGCACATGGCTTTCAGGGTTGTCACCGGCAAACTGCTACAGCATTTGTCCAGTGTCAATGACCTTTGGCCTCTTTGAAAAGACTGCGCAGAACCAGCTTGCAGAGAGACTGCTTGAAGCTTCTCAGCTTTGGATTAGAGTTTAGTGACGAAGTACTACACTTCTACACACTTCCGTAATTTACGGCTTAGCTCAAACATAGATGCGATTGAAACATTCTTGAACTGCAGGCAAAGATATAGCCACGCTAGCTGGACAGTACAGAAGTTCTTACGTCATTGCCAGTGGCACCCATGGGTGAGCTGGAATTGCACATTCAGTTGAGGAGTTCGCTTGTGACGCTATTTATCTCGTCGCTTGTGACGCTGTTTTGCTCGTCGCTTGTGACGCTGTTCATTGTTCTCGGGCATTTTACCTGTAAATTTCCGTATAAAGTGGCTCTTGTGCACGTGCATGCCGACTCTGTAGGCTCCCACAAAGTCTGTGTCGGGGTCTTGGTCCACAGCTGTTCGGCGGCATTTAACCTGTATTTAACCTGTAAATTGCCGTATCAAGTGGCTCTTGTGATATGTCCCAAGTGCATTTCGACCCTTGAACCCTACACCCCTCCCACCCCACCACCCCCCAAAAACCTAAAAGGTAGAACCGCTGGTATTTCAGTCAGCGCACATGATAAGAAACAGTCTTACACCCTGAGCCATCAACAGTCGTGGGCCCTAAACCCCCCCACCCCCCCCACCCCCAAATAAGAAACACGCTTACACCCTGAACCATCCTAACCCCCCTACCCCACCCTCCAAAAGCTTAAAAAGTAGAACCATTGTTACTGTCAGTATTGGCACATGATTGTGAACCCAAACCACCCACCCACCCCACCAAAAGCCTAAAAGGTAGAACTCATTGGTATTTTCAGGATTGGCGGACGATAAGAAACATTCTTTACACCCTGACCATCGACAGTCGTGAGCCCCGAACCCCCCACCCCCCCACCCCCCACAAGCCTAAAAGGTAGAACCATTGTTACTGTCAGGGTTGGCACGTGGTGTGAATATTAAACCCCCACCCATGTTTTTGTTTTGGACTTCACCCTATCAGGGCATAGCATGAGTACTGAGCGCAGTTTATATACGCTGTCAAGGCGCACGAGAGAGATATAGAGGTATAGCTTGTAGCTAGGCGCTGCACTGACTGGCTATTGGCCGACAGAGGAAAACTAGTGCTGGCAGCTCTAGCTGATCCTATCAGGACGCTATTGCCCCTCTTGAAGTGGTAGCGAAGCTGTGATCCTTCAAAAGCCTAAAAGATAGAACCGTTGTAAAATGTAAGACAATTGCATTGTAAGGTGGCTCATGGTCTCGTTTTATGTCCTGCTTTGCACGCAATTAGCAGGCAACTCATAGGGTTTCACAGACATTTCGTCGCAAGTGATCAGCAAAAAGGCAGGGCTATATTTTCGTCGCAAGTGATCGGCAAAACTTCGTCGCAAGTGAATGGCAGACCACACAGGCATGTGACCAAACAGAGTTGTACTTTGATGCCACCATCGAATTCAACATCTCGAAGGACAAAAAAATGTAGACAATACTGCTACATTTGAAATGCAGACGCTGTTGGTGCAATGGATGGGACAGCCAAATCTGACGACGTTGGGCCGAGCGCAGTGGAGGTCGTAGGATTCAGAAACATCATTTTGGACATGCATCCCTTCAAATGTTAACATTCGCCTATAAGCTGGAAGATGAAGTGAAGATGGAATTCATCGCAACCGTACAAACTTGTTAGGGCCCCATTGACACAAAACATCGCTGTGCCCAGCCTGGTTTTTGAAATCAGGTGCTCCGCATTGCTGCTTCACCGCATGGGCCATGTTCCTTAAGTGCTCCGCTGGGTCTGGAAATTGAGTTTCGGACATCGTTGGATGTAGCACATGCAGAATGGCAACTTCGGTTTATTGCAGATTTGGTTCACCACCAGCGCCCCATCGACCTTGAACTGGAGAGCCAGGAAAGCAAGGTCATTACCAGTGGCAATACTGGCGATCCTTCTCCCTGCTCCTATCATGTCGAACTGAAAACAGTGGGCCTGCAAAAGCTGTTGGCTTTACCCGAATCAGCGCTTGAGAGCCTGGGTATTTTGGAAGTCAGACTCGTGACAAAGGACACTGAGCTTGCCTCCATCCGTCTTGTGACAGATGTGAGGTGGAGTAGCAATGAATGGCAACGCGGCGTGCTTGATCCTTTTAGATAGAAAAGTCTTTGCTTGCATTCAGGTCAATTCTTGAAGTGGTTGGGCACCATTTGATGGCTAACAGGTCACTTGATTGGGGGTTGATGCACCCAGACATGTACCGAGTCTATTGGACGGTGTACAGATCACTAGGAAGGTGAAGCCGCCTCGCTTCTTTTAGTTGCGACACGCAAGCCTTGAAGGCTTCTGAGCTGACAACTCCCTATTTTGGAAGTTGGATCAAACCAAATCGATGCATCACTGACAATACTTTGCACTGCTTCTAGGTCAATAATTGAACCCAGAGTTGTTCAAAGTTCAAAACACTGCAACCAGACTAGCATTTGAGCTCGTTGTCTATTCATTCCCATCCACGAGCAGACACAGGTATGTTTTCTTTCTTTCGGGAGCACAGGGACAATCGAAGTGTTGCAAAGGTAAATTGGGATCATAAAGAAACTCTTACTTCAGATTTGTCTCTGACGAGCCATGGATTTCATGCGGCGTGCTTTATCCCTGTCCAAAAGTTTCGCTCAAGCGTCCAGCTGCAGCATCTCACACGTCAGACATGGCGTGTCAAGTTCCGCCAGAGGCGGTGGTGTGTCCTGGCCATTTCTGGGTCGGCTGAGCACTCCGTTCCCTCCGTTCTTTCTATCTCGGAGAAATTTGTCTTTCGCTTCTGGACCTCCGTTCTTGCAGAGTTCACAGATGCCTATCAAAATCTACAACGCAAGCTGCAGACAATTTGCCACAAGGACGTGGGCTCATGTCAACCTTGCATCCCACTTAGATTGCTTTGGAGCGGTGATGCCTGATTGCTTGAAAGCCAGTGTGGAGGAACCTCCATGGAAGGCTTTTCTACAAGCGACGGCCCAAAATGGTGGATTGCTGAGTGACATCGGTCGTGTTTGATTTTCATTGCACCTTAGGGTGGTGACGGTGTTGCATATTTCTCCTGTCAAGATCACGTATTTCTGGTCCTAAGTGTCTTAAAAGAGCATTTTTTTCGAGATGTGACATCGAATCATGTGATGATTCTGATAGTTCTCAGAACCATAGATTGAAACCTTCTTCGTCCGACTCAGATACCGAAGTGGAGCTTCAACCCGCGGTCAAAATGGCTGGAGGGCGCTGGAAATCGGAAGGGCGTCTGCACAAAGGCAGGGCGCATTAGAAAAAGTTTCTGACAGATTGCATTTTTTGCATTGAAGATCTTTGAAGCATTTGTTTCGAGGTTTTTATCACCTCTCCGAAGAAGCCCAACTCGGGCCAAAGAAAAGCTTCATGGCTGGGTGGAGCTTTGGGTGTAATGGTGGTGATGGTGCTGATAATGATGAGAGAGGAGGTGAGGAGTCTGAGGAAGTTGAGGATGAGGCTGATAAATAAGGTCAGCCATGGCAATCAGGCGAAATGTTTTGCACGCCTGTGCGTTCAGCTGCGCGCGCTTTTGAACGGTTGAGGTTTGCTATGTCCGCCTTTCCAATGGACGCATCGTGAAGGTTCATGCAACAAGTACAGCTGGTAGCTGCATCTCTCAGAACTCAAGAGCTTTCTTTCAGCGTCACAGGCCTACATTCCTGGCATGGGCCACAATCTCCAGGCACACATTCAGCATGCTTTTGTTGTTGAAATGGCATCCCAAGATATCCCAAGGAATTAAAACCGCGCGTTTGCAGGTACACTCTGTGGTTATGGTCAGAGGTGGTCGCCGCCGAGAGATTATTGGTGATCCTGTCATGTTTTCAGTCTGCTACTTGCCGTTTGGCAAAGGACTTCTGCTGAAATGCTGGCAGGTTGCAACTACACCTGCATGAGGGGCCAATACGATCTCCTTCCAGTAAAAAATCGTGGGTGCCAAACTCAGCCTCAAACTCTTTCGACCAATCGCAATATTGTGATTGTAGTAAGTACGTATTGCGGTTGTGCGGGTGTCTGCAGAATGGATCAAGCTTCTCACACATATGACTTCACGCATCGCAATCAGACATGTTACAGTCGCATCGATGGCTTTGATTCAGACTTTTCT